TTTATGTGACATATGTTACCTACCCTTAAAGGTGAAGTCTTCACTCAGTCAGACCATTTGACCCATCTCATGCTAAATTGTCTCCAGAATCTGCTTTTCAGATTCCAGCATTTCAGGTCTGGTCCAGTCATGATGCACTCTGTTTTTCATTTTAATGCTGGAGTATTTGTTCAAGTCCATAGATTTTGCATTTTTAATCTTCCTTAGAACAGTGGTGAATAATGGCCCTTGGCAGGAGATAATGAAATTTTCTTAATTTATATTTTCAAGCAGAAGCTTCAATTGAAAATGGCATCCTATGGCCTGGAGACACAGCTCTAGTGCAAGTTTCAGGGGAGCTGTAATAATAATGCAGTGCCAGCAGTGACGGGGAATGATAGGACAGTGAAGAAGTAATTTAAGAAAGAAAAGAGAATGTACCAAAGCTTTATTGTAGCATATCTAATGATCTGCTGAAGATTCCCAATAGCTTTTGGAGCATGACAGGAGAAACTAATGTTATCTTGCCAAAACAGAAGCCCCTGCTTAATCAGCAGAACAAGATTATTGATTAAAACACCTCACACAATAGATTGTGCATGGAATCTCATCTCCATACATTGCACATGGTAAAGTGCAATAATGAGCATGAGATAATAAAAAAGGAGCAAAAGCAATTTGTTGGGAATTGTACAAGTCAAGATTAGAGTTGAAATGCAAACAAATTATTGTGGAAGGTACAGTTGTCCTTAGAGATGAGCACAGAAGAAGATGGGTGCAACAGGGACATGGCTACATAGTGAGTGGAAGATGCTTGCTAACAGCTCTGCTGGAGCTGCTTTCCTTCCCTTTTTTTTCTGTATTCATCTGAAATGTGGAAGGGCCATTCCTCATTTGCACAGTCTTCTTCCTGAGGTGAAAGGAGTTCAGACATCGTACTGTAACTGTTAATTAAACACTCCATTTGATTTTTAGATTACTCTGATGCATCTGCATTATGAAAATGTAACCTTTCTTCATTCATACTAAAATACTGAAGAAATGAGTACACAATTACTCCCTGTATTCATGACAACAATGATACTTCCTACATTTCCCTATGCAAAACTCTTGCTGGTAGCACAGGAACCTGAATTATCATTCTTTCAGTGCTACACTTAGTCTTCTCCTAACTAGGGTTTCAAATTTAATTCATTTATTACCTTTTCTAAATCAGCTGTTACCAAGTTCTTTGCAGATCTGCTTTATTTCCTTGTAAATGACAAAGTCATAGTGTCATAAATCTTTGAGAATGTCATGAATGTCTCAAGTGATATTTCAGTGTGTGATAATATAAATTTTAAGATTATACATAAAAACCTGTGGATTTGGATAGCTCAAAATAAACTGGGGAAGTATGCAGTTAACTAGATTACAGAACACTTAAATGATACTTTAATACAGAACACTTAAACACTAGATTACAGACATTTAAACACGAATGTGTTTGTGATTTGACTTCTTAAATTCCAAGAAACAACTGGTTCCTACCACGCCTTCAGATGGAACACTTATAAAAGAGTTTGGACAGATGGACTGAAGTAACAGTATGTTGTGTAGAAAAAATAACATTGGTAAAAATGCATGAGAGAGTTCAAGTTAGTTGGCAGGGTTTTTAGTTGTTAGTTTTCTGATGATGTCCAGGCCTACTTTCAAATCTATAGGAATTTTATTACATGCGTGTTTTGGAGAATCTAATCTTCAGAAAGGGCTTACCCATTCAAAAAGTAATGGAAAATAGGACATGAGATTATGTCGCAAAGATTGTAACTGTAATATGGGCATAGTGTTTCTAAATGCAAAGATTTCTCAAAATTATGAACCTCTGCTAGAGCAGTGATGAGGTAGCTTTGATACTCAGTAGTCATGTAGCTGGCATAATTCAGAGTTTCTTGCTGTAAAGAATATCAGCTGAGACCTTTAGCAGTTGGTAAAATGGTCTTGGTAGGCGTAGGCAGCAGCAGAACTGTAGGCCAATAACCAATACAGCATATTAGGTTCTACAGAGGAGAAACCTACAACGCTGAAGACAGAAGACTTCCATTTATCCAGAGAACAAATGACAGTACTGTAAATTCCCTGAGTGGCTTGTCTCTGAACTACCTCTACAGAGCCGATATCTTCTTTGTCTGTTCTCCAAAAGCCATGATGTGGGATTGACAGCTGCTGTAGATACTGTTGGGGTTTCTTGAAGATTTCACTGGAACTGGAATATGACCACTAACTAGGTAACAAATAGTTACCTGAATGTGGATTTTTTTACATATGAATGTCTTAATCAAGCTGCTTTAATTTGAAGTCTTAGAAACATGTGAAAATCAGAACCTCATATGAAAATTACTCGTCTTTTGTAAAATGCAACCAGCAACGTATTCTTAAATGCAGATCAGTGATTTGAATGTGAAAAACTACAACTTAAAGCAAAAATCCTTCTATTCATTCAGTTATCCAACTAATCGCCCTCGCTGGGTGGGGGGATGCTTTGTAGCACTGATTTGTACTGCAGTACCGGGCAGGCTCATGGTGTTTTGGAACTGGCATCTCCTTCATTTTGACCAAAGGTGAGCAAGAGGTGGCCATATGAAGAGCAAGCAAAATTTTAGCTGTAGAAATAGTCAAAAGTTTTTACAAAGTCTATGACTTCCTGGAATTATCACTCAGTGCCTGGAGTTTGACACTGGCACTCATTGTGGAAAGACAAAATAGTGCTTTGTTTTAATTATTATTATAGACTTTTGATACAAGCTACTATGAACTGCAGCTTCCTGACTGATGACAGAATAATAATTCTTTCACCTGGGGAAAATGAAAGAGAAGGAGACAAGAGTCCATCTTTTTTTATAAGATTTACAAATACTGCTAATAAAACTTTTTTTTTTTTTTTCCACAGCTAAATATAACCTTCATCAGTTTCACTCTCAAGCAATTCCTCCCAATATGTATCCATTTTATTTTGCAACAAATCAATATTTCTCTCTTAATTGCTGCTCATTCAAGTATAAAATGAAATTTTCATACAGCTCAAAGCTGTGGAAACCATTATACTGCGTGATGCACTACACAGAGTCTTTCTGTAGGGATGGTTTTGGCTTCAACATAAGGTTTTCACTAACAAAACAGAAAAATTTAAAGAAATAATTACAAATTCTTACATCCAAGGTTTTTATGCTGGTTAGTCTGACCCGAGTTGTAAAAACCTTGTACAGGGAACAAAGAGGCCCGTGAAGTTTAGGACTGTGCTTCCTTCTCCTATTTCTACAGCCTTCTCTTAACACCATGCACATGAGATCAGTGCAGAGGCTTTCTCTGCAAGCTGGTTGCATGTGTCATCACTTCCATGTGGCTCTGAAAACCATCATACTTGTTCCAGTCTCTCAAGTACACTTCATGAGCTGTTGCCTTGAGTAACACTGGCACCCTGAGTCTCACAGAACCTGTGTGAGGGCTACACGAGGATCCTGCCTATGCTGGCCGCAAGTCATGGCCACAAGGTAAACTCCTCACCATCTATCTGGTTGTGTGTGTATACAGGAATCATGGGCTACTTCCACTCAGGTTTGCAGTTATAAGCCTTACGAGACAAAAAAGTAGTTTTTAGAAAAAGAGAGAAATGAAGAGATAAATTCAGAAGAGTCGTTGTTCCTGAGTTTACTCAACAAGAGGCTCAGTATGTCCTGACCAGTTTTGTACAAGTGTGATTAGAACATAAAAGGGAAAGTGATTCATATCTGAGTTCTTCAAATGGGCTTGTTCTACCTTTCATAAGGTAGCATGAATTATTCTTATACCTGCTGGCAAAGTAGAGCTGTGGAAAGCTGTTGATACAAGATAGATTATTTTAGCTTGGGTATTCAGGGAGTGTGGGAAGTGGTAGGGCAATAGAGAAGTTGATGTACAGCTGGAGTCAAAGGCTAGACCATTACTTAAGTTCAGATGTCCTTTATGCAGTTTGCTGACAAACAAAAGTAACCCCTGAGAAGATCAGCTAAGCTCTTTTTGTTTTAGTTACCAAACTCCCTGACCTTCTCTTCTTTCCATCTACTTCGTTCTGTTTTTTTCTGTATTATATTTTGACCATCTCTTCAGAGTTAGGTGATAATTTTTCCATTTTAAGTTCCAATCTATTGATTCTTTTGTTTCTCTTTCTTCTGGAAGTCTCTAGTCATTATTTAAAAAAAACAAGCAAACGAAAAACAAACAAACAAACAAACAAAATCACCCTTTATAAACATTAAATTCAGTAGATCCTTGTGGTTAGAGGCATTGAAATAAAGTTCTTTGTATCAAAATGCATTGACTTCCATTGTTCAACAAATCATTTATGTTCCAGTATTTAGTCTCCTCTAAAATACATTTGAATTAATTTTCTTGCAGTTCTTCTTTTTAACTGTTTTTCTTATTTCCTCAGATGGTCATTCTTTACCTCTTGCTGTAACCTAACAGAGGAAGCATAGAGTCCACCAATTATTCCTAAAATAATTAAAATGGAAATGCTAATGCTCTTTGTCTGCAGTAACTCTTCCAAACAAAATCATAACTTTCTTGAATCACAACAAAAATCTCTCTGAGACATAAAACCATTCATCAGTATGTATACCTATGAAGACTGAAGGAATTGCTCATTTGTGCAATTGTACATTATTCAAATTTACACATTTTTTCATTTTGTATCATTGCATTTTGCTTTGATTTTATTGAATAGTGGTGTCAAGTCAGTATATATTTGGGATAGCTATCTTTACCAGTGGGAATGAGTGACATTTAGATAACATCGATCCCCAAATTTGAGTGTAAAGCCAGGACTGAAATAATGTGTTGAAGCCTTATTTATGGACTCAGACTGATCTAGTATTAATTAACTTGTTGTCTTATGGATTGGATTGCCCAAGTGTGAAGAGAGTTAGAACCGCATATAGCACTTAAGTATGAACTTGCAAATTAAATGTAATTTTAAATTAATTAGCTTTCTTTTCCCATTACAGGTGCAACAACCGAACACAGTGTATAGTAGTTACTGGGTCAGATGTGTTTCCTGATCCTTGTCCTGGAACATACAAGTATCTAGAAGTTCAGTATGAATGTGTTCCTTACAGTAAGTATAATCTTTTTATTCTTGTTCACTTCCTTTGGCCCTCACAATTAAAGCTGGAGTGCTGTTACATGGAAAAGAAGCATATGTTTATGGCCCACAGACCCATTATGCATGCAGAGCACTTGCAGACTAGGGCCTCCAATTAGCTTCGCAAAGTGTGGAAGGAAGCCATGGTGTGATGCTGGCCAAGTGTCTGTCTGTGTTCTTAAGTGTTTGGCTTTTAAGGCTACTGTTTTTCCAGAAAACAAACTCGAATTAGCTATTCAATAGGCCAGATAGAAATTTGTACTTTTGCCCAATAACAGTTGCTGACAAATTGGCTTGGCTCACAGACTTCTAAAGAAGGAATTGACTTCAATTTTAATCATTATCTATTTGAAAGGCTACCTGCTGTTATGGTGACTTTGGGTGTACAACAAAGCCCAGCACTGACACTCCTGGGCAAATGCCCTGGTCAGGAGACATTATAAGACAACTTTGTGCTTCAGGGGCGCAGTTGTAAGTGAACACAGAATCAGAGTGAATAATTCATCAGTAAGTTACTGAAACTTGTTTCTTAAAAACAGTGGGAAAAGGAGTGAGAAAGAGATGTTCACTTTTAGTGTAAAGCCAAAATGTGAACTGTGCCTTGGAATCAGCTGTCAAAACAGAACTTTTTTTACTGAAAATAAAGTAAATACTGAAAACATATTGAGATCAAAAAATTAGAAGTTATGGCTATTTCAGCAGTTTTGTACGGTATTCTTTCTAATGCCAGAATTCGCTAGATTTAGACATACCTCTTATTTCCTTGCAATAATTAATGTTGTTTTTTTTTTTCACTGATGTATGCATGTTTTAAAAGTTCTGCAGATTCAACACTTTTAACTGGTTTTGCTTTCTTGTAAGGTCATTCTTTTCAGTGACTTCTCCCTCGTCCTGTAACTCCACAGAGAAATATCTGTACTTGCAATGGAACTTGAGCAGTGCACTGATCATTCCCTTAAGTTATTAAGTGTGAATTTCTTGATCTGCAGTAATCCTTAACCAAAGTCACATTTTCTGTTGGTACAGGAAACAGGCCAAGTCTGAGATGCAAAAACACTGTGGTGACAGTATACATCCAAAAAGGAAGGAAGTGAGTTCTGGCATAAGCAAAGCTATGTCAAAACTGTCCATTCTATTTACTGCACAACATTAAAATTTAGACTTCTTAAACCAAAATACTACTCTGTACTGCTTCACCACATTGAACATTCACTGTTGTTAAAGGCCAAACACAGATCATCTGTTTTTTCTTCATTTCTGCTGTCATTGTGATATGGATGCTTGCTGATTTTTTTTTTCTGTACCATTTGTAGGATTGGAAGCCTACTGCATACAGTGATCCCTAGTACCATTCCTACTGTGTGTAGTATTGGTGGCTTGTTATACCTGTTCTTCTTGTGCCACTTTTAAGGAGTGATGTCTTACCCCAATCTAACCAAAATTTTGTTCCATAAAGATCACTTTAACTGTAGCTCATTTTTTATTCCCAAATTCTCAGAAAGAGGGCAGTGCAACTGATTCCAAACCATGGGGTCAGTCAAATGACAAGAGGTTATGTTTCCAGTTCCAGTAGGTTAGTTCATAGAGAAAAGGTATAATGCAAATAATGTTCAAACATAATTTTTTATGCTGTTTTAGGAAGAGAAGTGTGGATATATTCAACTGATTGGGTATTGCTGTCTACAGGAATCTTTTCTTTTCCAGTTTTCAGAAGTATAGTGTCACAGCGCGGCCTATCCTGTACTCTAACATGTAGTAATTCTACTTTTAAAATGCTTATTTTTGTTTATTGTGAATTTCATTGGCCTACCCCTTCCTTGAATTATATAATTCTATGTCTATCGTAACTCAGGATTCTGGATACTTCTTGTCTTTCAAAGTCTAAGTTTGGGAGTTTGTTAACTGCAGCATGTACGGTGATGACACTGCCTAATTCCAGAATTGTAAGAGGAATCATCTGTTGTTACCAGCATCAAAAGGATTGCCGGTTATTAAAATCAGTTTTTGATTTCAAGCTACATTGTGCTGCAGTAGCCATTTTGATTGTTGACCATTTTTTTCCCCTGTCCCACAAAGCCTATCCTGTTATTTTTGCAAATCTCTTGATGACCAATCAACGCGAGTTATCAAGTCTAATTTTTTTTCCTCTTACTTGTTCCATTGCTTCACTTCTAAACTTACGAAATAACTAAAATCATTAGATTTGCAAAGAGCAGCTATCCCAGCAAAAAGAGACTTGTTAAGAAGATGGGATAGGCTTTTGTGGGTCTAGTAAGGGGGATTTTTAGTGATCACAGCACTTCTAACCAAAGTTCAGTTATGCTTTTTTTTTTTTCTGAACTTCATCTTCAGTTACTGCAAGACTGCAAAATGTACTATGTTGACGTCTTTCAGCCCATGAGAGATTACAGCTAGCAATTGTACCAACTTTTGTGGTTAAAGTTGAGAGCTCGTACACATTGGTGTTGGTGTCACCCTTGTACAAAATGCAATTTATGAGCTCCTCTTAGGTCTTGCTGGCCTCTAGAAATATGATCATGCTTTGCTGATCATGCATATTGATTGAGCTTCCTCTGGGCTCTCATTGCCCTCAAAAGAACTTACTTAATGAAAAACTTCCTTTTTTGCATCTCATAGTGTAGACCTGTTACTGATGTTTTTCTAATCCTCTTTAGCTGAAAAAAATCTATTGAAATACTCAGTTGGATCTCCAACAAAACTAAAATTCTAGACAAATTTGATAGGCATTGCTTTGTCCTAAAATAAGAGTGTTATTGATTAAATTACAAAGAAATTGAGAGTACCATACTTGACATTTCTCTCAATTATGCTGCACAATGTGTGTTGACACTTTTACTGAATAACGGAAGTCGGCCCTTTTATTAAGAAGTACATCAGAAGTACCATTTTGTACATCTGTGCATTTTTATTTTAAGCCTTTTTTGGACTCAGGAATTCAATAGAAAACATTTTAAAGTGTTTTATTCTCTCTCTGTCTGTATTGATTGGACTTTGCAGCATTTGTTTATTTCAATAAGCCCATCTGTCCCTGAAAAATGTACAGCTGTACACCAATGCACTTGGAGAAGACATGCCAGTAATGATTTTAGTTATCCCTAGATTTTTCCCTCACTCCTATTACTAATTCTAAGTAGGTACAATATCAATACTGCTCTTTGGAGAGGAATAAGCTCGTGCATGAAAGTTCACAAACAGAATAATATGAAAGTCATTAACACTGAATATGAAACTCAGGAACTCACCTAAGAATGCGTCTTCTGTTTACTCGAGAATTAGAAAATGCAGTAAAACAAATTTGTTACCTAAATATGCACAAATGAACAAAGGCTAGAAAAACTACTGCTGATTTTGACAATATTAGCCCCCTTCCACTCTGCTTGTAAAGCTTTGGAATTGTTCCCTAAAGAAACACTAGATCAACTCAGTCAATACCATTCTCCCAAAATAACCATATGTAATTTTGTTAAATGAAACTGAAAGTACAAAACTTTCTATGGAATATAGAAATACTTTTTTCATGATAATACTGAAATACTGAAAATGTAATAGCTGTGCAAATAGTTTTGATACACTTCCTTGGTGCCAGCAGTTACTGTCACACAGATTGGTACATCTGTCATTTTCCAGGTCATTTTATGAAAGTAAAGGAACATACTTCAAAGGCTACTGAGTATATGAAATAGATTTTATTGCAAATAATTATTGGAGAGCTATTTACTATCTGGACTTCAGCTCTAAGTCTTCTATAATATGTTCCTTAAAACTACCTTGGGGGAAAATTTCTATAGTAATGTAACTTTGTTAATCAGATTTGATTTATATTTTCCATGTATGGTGGTGGAATGCAAATTTGTTTCAAAGACTTAGTATACTTAGTCCTTGCATACTAGCTTGCTGTTTCGGGCTTAATCGATGATGCTGGAGAATATCTGAATGAGCTAAATGTTAATCTTTTCTTCTCCTCTTGCTTACTGTGCTTTTGCTTCCTTTTTCTAGATGTTTTTGCTTATTTCTTCTAGTCTGATTTTGCAGTTATAGACAAAGAAGTGTCAAAAGTTCTCAAGATTGCATTCAGGAAAATAAACAAAATAAAGCCTAAGGAGAGCTAAAGGATACAAGCTGCTTTCTTTACAAGAAAGAAAAGCTGGGGGAAAGATGGGAGGGAAGTTTAATAAACACACATACATACCTATATAACTCATATGCCGTGTTTTGGATTTATAATTATCTAACTAATATAATATGTATATGTGCCCTAGCACATATATGATATATTAACATGTCACTTTTAAAAATCAACTTGATAGCATTATGCTTTGAGTTTGAGAAGAAGAGTATGTCTAGCATGCATTAGTAAAGTCATTCATTATTTATTCAGGTTCACTAAGTGAAACAACATGCCAACGTATCTGTATTGCCTCCTTAATCTACTAAATTGATTGATCCATGTTCACTTGTGTAACCGTAGAATCTCTCTCCTGCTAGGTTTTCCTGTTGTCTGTTTCTCTTTATCCAATATAGTGCAGTTCTTATTCTCCCTATATTTAGCGTCTGTTACTAATTTAATCTTTAGATTAATAGTCAATTTATGTTAATCTTCTTTCTTTTTTCCTTGCACTTTTTTATTTTTCTTCCGATGCTTAAAATAGAAGTGGAGCAAAAAGGTAAATAACGTATACAGTCCAAACCCCAGCTCCTTGTTATGTGCCTTATGGATGTTAACCTCTTCCCTTCCCCTCCCCACAACACTCTTATATTATGATAATCAGCAGGATCTCATAAGTACACCTCATAAAGAAGTCGACTGTTTGCAATAAAGTGACTTGGCTGCTTAAAGTAGGTGGCGGGGTATAGTGTCTGAAATACTTGGGCTGGAGGGAAGACTCCCTTGCTTTTTTCTCTCCCTTTCTCTTTGTCTTTCTTTTCCCTCTCTTTCTCTCACCCTTGGGTAAATTCTTGTTAATAAAGTGTCATCTTGCCTGGCTTCCAGAACCCTCTCCATAGCATGCCATGGTTACAGGGTTTCCTGGTCTGTTTCATTCATTGCTTTGGTTGTGTTTTGTTTTCTCTGCTCCTAATTGCTTTCTCTATATACCTGATGATTTGTTTTGTTCCTTTATTTTAATCGAGGCACCTCCTTTTTCAGCCTCACCACTTCTTAAAGTTCTAAACAAGTCGATGCGATTTTTTTGGACTGAAATGACCTAGCGCACTGCTGCACACCAGTTAAAAGCTCTGGAGCGTTAATGCGTACTCACTAAAAGTCTAAGATGAAAATGCAAGAGTAGACATTTTCAGCTGTCTGTGTATGCCATTGAGCCTTGGTCTGTACTAGTGAAAGCAGTTCCCATCCACTTTCCATACTGGTACAGCAAGAACATGGTAACTTTAAGAAAAGTGGATGATAAAGGGTGATAATTGCATTAATTATAACATAAGGTATAATCTAGTGCCAATTAAATTGATTTTTTTTCTTCCTGACACAGTCATTATGATTTACCTACTTTTTTCTTTTTTTTTTTCTTTTTTTCTTTTTTTTTTTTTTTTTCTTCTTTTTTTTGGGGGGGATTATGAGACAGTTTTAATCTGACATAATTCTTCTTTTACTTCTCTCTGTGACTGTTAGTTTTTGTTTGCCCGGGGACGTTGAAAGCAATTGTGGACTCACCGTACTTATATGAAGCTGAACAAAAAGCAGGTGCTTGGTGCAAAGATCCTCTCCAGGCTGCAGATAAAATATACTTCATGCCATGGACCCCATATCGCACCGATACTTTGATAGAATATGCTTCCTTAGAGGACTTCCAAAACGGACGCCAGCAAACAACATATAAACTCCCAAATCGAGTGGACGGTACTGGATTTGTAGTATACGATGGCGCTGTCTTTTTTAACAAGGAAAGAACTAGGAACATAGTAAAATTTGACTTGAGGACTAGAATTAAGAGTGGAGAGGCCATAATCAATTATGCTAATTACCATGACACCTCTCCATACCGATGGGGAGGAAAAACTGACATTGACTTGGCAGTTGATGAAAATGGCTTATGGGTAATTTATGCTACGGAGCAAAACAATGGGATGATAGTAATTAGCCAGTTGAACCCTTACACCCTGCGCTTTGAAGCAACCTGGGAAACAACATACGACAAACGGGCAGCATCCAATGCTTTTATGATATGTGGTGTCCTGTATGTAGTGCGGTCAGTGTATCAAGACAATGAAAGCGAGACAGGCAAGAATGCCATTGATTACATCTACAACACCAGGCTGAGTAGAGGAGAACACGTGGATGTTCCTTTCCCCAACCAGTACCAGTACATCGCTGCAGTGGATTACAACCCCAGAGACAACCAGCTCTATGTGTGGAATAACAACTTCATTCTGCGATATTCTTTGGAATTCGGCCCACCTGATCCTGCCCAAGGTAACAGTTTGACTTTTCTTATTTTTCATCTCTTTGTACTTCCATTCAAATAACTATTTCAGATCTCTTTGGTCTAAAATATATCTTTGTACAGAAAGGCGAGGAGGGTTTGTGTCTCTGCATGGTTGAACAGTACAGTGTTACATTGGTACAAGGCAAATTTACAGAACTTGTGAAGAGAGATAGAATTACTTAATTTGGTTTCATTTGGCTTGTATTTTCCTGTAATTTGTTTTATGCAAGTGTTTAGCTTTTCTGTGCTTGAGAATGAGTTGGAGAATGGCTTATTTACTTTACATCAGTCAGTTTGACTTTCTGCAGCTAAAGTAAGTTTGAGTTCATTCACACTGAGCCAGAAGCCTGTTCCCGTTGGTTCTGTGTTACCTGACTTCTGAATTGATTACAGCACACATGCAGACCTCTTAACTTCTTGGCGCCAGCAGTTGAAAGTGATGTGTGCTGGGAGGTCCCAGAGGAGACATACAGGGTTAATGTGCAATACCAAGCATAAATATTTTTCTTCAGACCTATTTTCACAGTTTCTAATGCTGGATTAGACAAGATTATCCAACATCCTTTTAACAGATTTCTCAGCAAGTCCATTAAAACTGCTGTTCAGCTCACATGAAGTTAGAATAGCTACCTAAAAGGAAAGACACTAATTGGCCAAAAAGAGGAGTAAAAAAGAGGTCTCTAAGTCCCAGCTATCCCAAAGAATGACATGAACAGGCACAGCCACATATTGACACCTGTGGGGGATAGTATCAAGAGAAATGCTCTGTGGCAGAAGAGTATACATGCATCAAAGAACAGGTTGTTGGTAAGCTGCTTTAGCAATGAAGTCTGATACTTCAATCCAATTGGCATATGTGCTTAGCAGCCATTTTTTGTGCTTCAAAAAATAGTAATAACAGTTTCTCCCCATGGAAAGTAGCTGTTCGGTGTTGTCTCAGCTGATGCATATGCAGCAGGATGAACCACATAGTGGTGCACCACTCCTGCAAAGACAGGCTGAGAGTATTGGGGTTGTTCGGCCTAGAAAAGAGAAGGTTCTAAGAAGACCTCATTGCAGCCTACCAATACCTAAAGGGGGCCTACCGGAAAGACGTGGAGGGACTTTGTCAGGGAGTGAGTGTACTGATAGAACAGGGGGTAATGTTTTCAAGTATTCAATGATAGAGTAGGTTTCGATTAGATATAAGGAAGAAATTCTTCACTCGGAGGGTGGTGAGGCACTGGAACAGGTTGCCCAGAGAAGCTGTGGATGCCCCATCCCTGGAGGTGTTCAAGGCCAGGCTGGATGGGGCTTTGGGCCACCTGATATAGTGGGAGGTGTCCCTGCCCATGGCAGGGCGGTGGAATTAGACGGTCTTTAATGTCCCTTCCAACCCAAATCATTCTTCAGTTCTATGATTCTCTATTAGCATACATATAACTTTTCCTAAATAAAAAAGTATGTAAGATGCAGCACCACGAGGCAGTTTAGAAGTACCATACTAGCAATCTCCAGAGTCCCATAATGTTGTTACCAGTCTGTCTCCTGCAGACCTCCCTGGCTGTGTGATGCTAGTCTCAGCCAGTTCCAGTGTTTGGGGGCTGAGCTCCAGCCTGAGGGCAGCTGTTCTGGCTGGCTCTGCACTCTGTATGTGAAACGAGGCCATTCCTCAGGGAGGCTTTGCAGCTGCTCTTAGCTAAGACATACCCACCTAGGTAATTAGAAAAAAATTATAGCTTTCATTTTCATACATTCTCAGACATGTCACTTTTCATTCAATTTAACTGAGATGAAGATACAGTTTAAGTTCTCCAACACCTTAAAAATAAGAGCAGTAAATGGAGGTGCCGGCTTTATGTAGCTTTTGCAGTTCAGACATCTGCCATGAATGTGGCAAAAGCTAATCTTTAAATTATTGCATCGAAGGAAAAAGCATTTAGGAAGAGCAGGAAGAGACAAAAAAGCTGTCATTTATGTTAGTACCACCAAACATCTCCAGTGAGACATTTCATAATGTTTTTATTATGAGAGAGTCTCTAAGATCCTAACTTACAGTACACATCTCAGCCACATTCCATCTAATATCAGCAAGAGTTTCAGGTATCCAGCAGCACCCTTTCATGTTCCTGGGTTTCCATGTGAAGAAGCTGGTATGCAAGACAGAGGAAGAAAGATGGTACTGCAACCAGACCTAGACAAGAAGGGGTCTAGGACATGCTGCAGAGTGCTTGCTTCTCATCTAAGCATTTTACCCATTCACCCATGAAGATATAAAATAAATATTTTGAGTGGTTTGTGAGTTCTTGTTTTAAATGAATTAAGAAATCAGTAAATACATTTTGATTGTGACCTTTTTTAAATATAGAAACCATATGAAGACATTAGGTTTATTTGAATATGTATTACATTGATTCACAAAAGTTATTTTTTCCCTATATAGAGCCAATAACCACTATTTAAATTTTGTGTGGATGTGTAAATGGCAGATCTAAGAATATGTTTCAGTTCATTTCCTCTTTTGACTTTAGTTAAAGACTACTAAATTAAAGGAAAAATTAGTGTGATTGTCCTTGAGAAGTACCAAGAAAAAAAATAAAACCAAGAAGACATTCCAGACTGTTTGTAACTCAGTATTTTATTTGTATTATATTCTCAGTTCTTCATTTTTTCAGCATAAAATCTATATAAATTGAAGACCAGTCCATCTATTGTTACACAGTCCAAGAACCTATATGTGTAATACACATTTCAGGTTTTTATCTTCCGTGGAATTAGATCAGATTTTCAGCACATTTGATAAAGAACATTTTTATGTTTCTTTTTTTTTTTTTTTTTTCTTTTTCTGTGGTTCAGATCTCTTAATCATCTACTCAAAGACATAAGTGTTAGGATAAGATTCTTTAAGTCACCTAATGGGAGAACTTTTCTTTCTTTTTTTTTTTTTTCTACAACGGTACTTTAATGTAAGGTATTTAATGGTGTCACAAGGTCAGTGCCTCAAAATTGGAAGTCATGGCCTTTTCTGTTCTAGTGGTTAACTTGGGGCCACTGTAGAAAAGTCAGCAATCTGTGTTGCTTCTGTTGCCGCGGGAGCAATAATGATGTATAGACACCGAGTGATTCATTTTTTCTTCCATCTATCTGTCTTGGCTATCAGTTCTTGTCTGCACCTGAACTTCCTGCTATCAAGGGCTTCAGAAACAACAATCTTCTTCTTCCATAAAAGACAAATTTGTCACATTTGAGTCACACTTCTTAACTCAAAGGTTTGTGTTTGCTTCCAGAGCTAAAATTGTGGACTCATTTGTGACCTCCAGCATGCCTTTTTTCTTTCAGTTGTTTCTTCCATTTTTAAATCTGCCTATTGAAACCACAGAAATGCCACTATAATTAACCTAATGTTGACCTGGCTTTTGCTGCAAACCTACGCCATTTCTTCCTCCTCCAACTGTGTATGTTATGTGCTTCCCATATTCATATTTACCTAATCCTCAGGAAAACTCTTCAAATTTCTAAAACCAAGGCTGCTGCAGCCATGCTACCACGACCACGTTTACCCTGGAAATTGGGTCTGCTGCCCTTAGAGCTCTCCCCTTTACCTCAGTCTTTATGTGTTGTTATTTCTTCTCTCTCCTCATGGGAATTATAGTACATAGATGTAGAAATGGCTCTCAGAGCTAGATCTGGCAAGTAACACTCATTTACAACACAAGATCACATTTTCATAGGTTAAATGTAAAAATTATATTTAAATGTCAACCTAAATTCAGAAATAGTTCAGAAATATATCAGGTCCTGCAAAAAGCAACTACAAAAATGCAGAACAAAGAAAAGTTTTTGTAGTCTTGGTAAATTTAGTGTATATGTCCCAGTATATTATTTCTAAAGGGGCATCCAAGGATCAAACAAATCCTAGCTGGAATAAGAATTTTTAAAGGAATTTAGATCAGGAAGAATGAAGGGAATGTTCCCCCTAAAAAGTGAATGAGTATTACATTTAAGGTTTCCTTGGTAACAAAAAGAAGATAAATCCTTTTGTTCTGTTGTAGTGCGTTAGGGAGAGATTTCATCTACACTCACCCCAATTTACGCTAACTGTGCAAACTGTTCAAACTGGAGTTGTCTCCCCTTTTGTACCATGATACCCATCATTAACTTTTATTGGATCACTGCAGGAAAATACGGATGTTGTGAGTGTGGACAGAACAGAAACTCAGAGAGTACTATCACCAAGGGCTTGAAATAATAGGAAGCTAGTGCAAATAAATCTTTATAAACCAAGAATCTATGACGAAGTCATGCAGCAAATTGTTAGTAAATTAGATCTTTGCTATTATAGTGAATCTGCTACACTACAGATTGATTAAAGAGTGGCTGTACAAATAAAGACAACATAATGGGGACCAGATAGCACATTTCTTGATCATAGGTATTTCTCTAATTTTGAAATGTATTTATTATTTTCAAGGTGTAAATTTATAAATGCCTGTGTAAACATTTCACTTTCGACTAAATGGGATTTGGCAGGGTCAATAGAATTCTGGCCAGCATAATAGCTGTAACCTATAAGTAATTAGGTAAGTCTTAGTGACTTCCCTGATATTCACTGAAGCATAAAAACAGGCACATAGCAGCAATAAGCAGAAAGCAGGGATATCTGGATTTGCACAGGTTTCTGATCCTGTTGCTTTACACAGCAGCTCAGTGTATGACACTTTTTGAAAATGAGGTGACGATCTAGGTTTTCAAATGTCCAAATACATTGAAATATCTAGTCAATAATAGCATATGTTTAAATGAAAAATCCATACAGCCAATTTCTGAAATTATCTAGGTCCCAGAGATGAAAGTGAAACCACTGATATTTTCAGAAACAATGCATCGTCTAAGCATTTCAATTCATTTTTAAATGTAGAGGGATATTTGTGTTGTGTGTGTGTGTGTGTGTGTGTGTTTGTTTGTTTGTTTTGATGTATTTAATGTGTACTTAGAATAGAAACCCATTGGCGAAGAATGTTAGATTGAAGAAAATAGAAAATAGGTGCTGTCTCTAAATCCATTCTTCACTGTCAGTTGGGGAAACAAAGTTACTATTCCCCTGCTGTCCTAAGCAATTGTGTTATGTTTTTTATAGACATCACACTGTTAAGCAGGTGCTAAGTTTTACTCCAGTGGTGTCTTCATTTTTAGAAACCAATAGTACTTCTAACTGTTTAAATCAGCTGTTAGGAACTGCATGAAACAAATGTAAATTAATTACTCTCAATTTGAGTCCTTGCATTTGCTTCCTATTGCTATCGTCATTTTTTTTAATCTTATGAAGACTGTCTTCAGCTGGTTAATGAGACACACCTATTTAAAAATAAAAAAATAAAATAAATAGGAAGGAAGAAGGCAGAAGAGGTTTTGTTTTTCTCCTCAGCATGTCCAGCATGGTCAAAAAATCCTAAGTGGAATCTCACATTGCAGAAGTAGCTTTCTTGGTAGTGGACCAAAAATTAAAAATAAAAATCGTCAGCCTTATAAAGGCTTACCCCAGCTGCCTGTAATGATAAGTTAATAACCCCTACATGTGGTTTGGTCTCCTTTTTAGTTGTGTCATATTAATCATCACTACCATTGTCACTACCATTGTCTTGTATCTGTAAGCACTCTGTAACTGCCTGGGAGCCTGCAGATGCCATCATCCTGGACACTTCAGATTGAGACACTTCAGCTGGTGGTGGCTATCATGTATCTTCTTGCAGCTCAGGACAGTGACCTTGCAGATTAAGTTCCCCAACAGGTCATTAAAAACAAAATGATCCACCTTCTGAGGGCTGGATATATTCCTAAAGAGATGTGCTCCTATTTTCAACCTTCCCAGTCACAGGCTTCCAGCACTGCCTGAAGTTTCTTGGTACATTCTTAAATATACCGATTTCTCCAGTTTTGTATTTAAATCAGAGAATCTCTTAGAAATGACCTGTATCTCTTTCAGTTTTGAGAGAGAGAAGGTTTGAAGTCTTTTTCTTAAAATGGGAGATTACAAGTATATTTCAAAAGTATACATTACTACTAAGGTATGCAGGTCATTTTTGAATCATAGACAATATGCATGGGGATTGATTTCAATGGATAGCATTAAAATTGTTCTACCTAATGTTGTGTAAAGACAGCAGAATATTTTAGCTGAGGGTGCAGCACAAAATATATTCTGAAAATTGTTACCTCACTACTGAACTTCAGAGAGTTGTTTTGAATTCTTATAGTGATATTCTGAGACAAAGCTATCCTAAACATTACAGGTTTGAGCAGTAATTGCAATAATGCTAATACACATTTCAGTGATTAAATATGTACTAATTAGCACAATGTGTTAGGGGATGGATAGTAATAATCAGTTGTCCCTTGCATCATTCTTTGTCCCTAGCAGCTCCCTGTTCCCCGGGACCTGATTCAGCAGGCATTGCCTGACACTGCTGCAAGTGATTGCAAATGCTTTTGACGAATGTTAATTGGGAAAGCAGTAGAAGGCTGGATGCATTGTAATCAAATGAAAATTACAGCAGTTTCACAAGATGTCAGGCAAGCACTTGCAGAACAGATCCAGAGATTTCAGTAGGTTTCATAGTAGCTGGCTGCGCTACAAATTCAGCACAATTACACAGACTGTCTTCAAACAGCCAAGAATCAGATCGAACAGAAGACAGCCTCTGAAGAAGTTTCTCATTTATGAGCAAGAAAGGGATAAAAAAAACACATCTTCTTATACAGTCTGTAAAAATAGATTCTGATGTTCAAAGCTTCACTCCAAATTCATAGAAAAATAAAAAGATAAATTCACATTTGAGACTCCTAAAATATTATAGATGAAATATAATTGAAAGAGGATTTTGAAATAATAATTGTTATCTTGCATCAAGAGAAAGTTAATATTTTTCACAAACATAAAAAATCATCTGCTGAAAGAAAGCTAGGCAGCACTTTTGGTTTTGGTGGTGATTTTATTTAGAGACCATGAGAAGACATGCATTGTCCAGTGCCTTGGAGGTCAAGGGCCTAGCAGCAACAAAACCCAACAACAACAAAAAAGCCACTTTATCCAGTGAAGTTAATCCTAAAATTAGCTTCATTTATTTCTGTATTGGTTAGGAAATAATAAATACTCAATCTGAGCATATTTAGTCTCAGCTCAAGGACCTGTGCTTTTATGTGCTTGTAAAGCACTGTGAGCACTAATGAAAGATTTGGAAATAATTAATGGTAACTGCCTCAATTACATTACCCGCATAGTTTCAACTGTTGCCCAATGTATATTTGAAGGTGATGAACAGAAATTGCGGACTGCTATCTTCACAAGTATTGACTAGTGCTACCTCTCCAAAACCTCAGAAAAAATGCAGCAGGCCTGGCTGCGCCTCCCCAGCCCCAGCAGTTCCTTTCTCATGGGGGTTAGTGAAGCGAACCACTGTGAGTCTCAGACAGAAATGATTTGGCCTAAACCAGTCCTAGTGTTGCACGAAAGATTGCACTAGGTGCTTCCTACTGGCCTGCATGAGTCATGTCTTCGTATCTGCTTTATCAAGAAAGGATGTTAAAACCTGCAATGTTCAAACACCAGACCACCACCTCCCTGCTATGCATTTCTGCTGCTTGGAGTTAATCAGGCATGCTGCAGCTCACTCGAGCAGAATGGCTGCTGGGTAGGAAGATGTTATCAGAGTTATTTTCCTGGAAGGTGTGTTGTGGGTGACTTGAAGTTTTTGGGTCTATATTTTTTTTATGGTCCAGTTATTTACAGCCCACTATCTTTATTGCTAAAGCTGAACTGTATTGTTTAATTGTATTGTTTATGGCATGCTGATTCAAATGGTTCTGTCCATACAGTTCTTCCTTCTGCAGAAATGATTAAGTAATCATTAATTGCTCTGAGCATATTTGTTATGTACTGATAACTTGGTAGGACTGCCTTTCAGCTTTTAGAAATGTAACTACCAATTGTTATTGTAGAAGAGATTGTTTAGAGATTGTTCTGAAACTTCATACTGGTATGAGCTGGGAGGAAAATAATTCTTAAGCACCCAGAATAACATTAAGAAAAGTGCAGTATTAAGGTAAAGAAAAGGAGACACCAGAGAATCGATTAAAATGACATAAATAACATTAAAAGGACTTTTAAAATCTGAACTCATTCACTTCTTTATTACTCTAATTTTCTCTGTGCAGTGCCTACTACAGCAGTGACAATAACTTCTTCAGCAGAGCTGTACAAAACCACAGTGTCAACCACTAGCACTACATCTCAGAAAGGCCCCATAAGCACAACATTAGCTGGAGGAACAAAGGAAGGAAGCAGAGGACCCAAGCCACCACCACCCATTTCCACAACCAAAATTCCTCCTGTGACAAGTTTCTTCCCATTGCCAGAGAGATTCTGTGAACCGACTGAGGCCAGGGGGATTAGCTGGCCCCAGACACAAAGAGGAATGATGGTTGAACGCCCTTGCCCCAAAGGAACACGAGGTATTGCCTTTAAAAATATGTCTTGAATTCAAGCAGTCATTTCAAAAGCACTGTGCCACTCTGATGACGATTTCTTTTTTAAATCTCAAGCTGTCTGTCATGATTTTTTCATGTTAGTTGGAGAATGCAGTATCTACAGGCAGTGGTCAAGTTCTAATCTACAAACAGCATTTGAACGTAGATGCAAAATTACCTTGCACATATGCTTTGAGAATCCAGGTCAAATTTTAGGTCTTTGCTTGGGGACTGTTGTGAAATATGCTTACAGATGCCTTTCTCATTATGAGCTCCCCTCTGGATGAGCTCCAGGAAAAATCAAGGGCTTTTTGTTTGTTTGCAGAAAACGTCTGGTACTTTTCACTGACTTCTTTATTGCTGTTTGTCATCTACATTATTTCCATACGTTTTTGTCAATTATTGTCAACTACTTACATTAGCAGCATTCAGAATTTAACATTGCTTAGGAGTACATTGTAGCTGATTTCCTGAATGCATGCAGAAAAATGGTTTCAATTTCACTGTAGTTTTCCACATCTGTTGTAGGAACTGCCTCATATCTTTGTGTGGTTTTAACGGGAACGTGGAACCCCAAAGGTCCCGATCTTAGCAACTGCACCTCACACTGGGTAAATCAGCTGGCTCAGAAGGTTGGTTGAAACCTTTTTATCTGATGTACACTGGTGACTAAGGATAAAACTGCAAGCATTAATAATTCAGTTAGTTGAAACCGTCTTTATTACTCTGTGTTCATTTGAAATAGAAAGAGTTACGAGCATTTTGTGTGTAAAGTATTTACCAAAAGTTAGGTTCATAAGTATGTTTAAGCACAGTCTTGCACTAAGTAATTGTATTGAGTCTGTGCTTACATGTTTTCATCACGTTTTAAAGCAAAGTAGCTTTTCCACTATCTTTGCTTAATGAATCAAATATTATAAACCACACAGCAAAAAGTCTGGTATGCAACCAGGTTTTTAGGTTTGGGGAAAATTACGCTGTAATAAGTAGATTTTTGTATAAGTGCATTAATAACAGTATGATTAGAACACAGAGCCACTTTCTGTGCTTTCCCTCCCTACTGAGATTTACTGAGTTTATGAAAACTGGATAATTTGTTGTCAGTACCAGGCTACTTGACTTTCAAATGCCTCAAGCACTAGTATGAACAAATAGATTTCTTACTGTCTGATAATGGCAGTAAAATAAAAGTGAGGATGAATAGAAGATCTAGCCCAAAAGTCCCAGCCTGATTTCTGTTTTGATGGCTGTTAAGAACTGCTTTTGTGTGTCACGGATCTAAGAACCTTTAATCTTCTGAGATAAAGAGAATGTTATTGGTCTCAATTAGTTGCAGATTTCAATGTATGTGTAAATGGTTATTTCACCACAACAAAGGTATGCGGGGAATTGGAATTAGGAGCCGCAAGCAGAACAAGGGACCCTGCTGAGATAATATAAATTGTCATTTCAGATCAGAAGTGGAGAAAATGCAGCTAGTCTGGCCAATGAACTGGCTAAACACACCAAAGGACCAGTCTTCGCTGGCGATGTTAGTTCATCAGTAAGGCTGATGGAGCAGCTTGTGGACATTTTGGATGCTCAGCTGCAGGAACTGCGGCCCAGTGAAAAAGACTCAGCTGGAAGGAGTTATAACAAGGTACACGTTTCCCTTCAAATCTTCCTGCTGGGATAACCATTGCCTTTGATTTTTTTTTTCTCTTTCAGAAATATTAATCTATACTTTGTTCCTGTGTACTTATAGTTGTGGAATAAACATGTAAGAGAAAACAACAGTAAATGCATAGCAGAAAGTTGCAATTACTTTCTTTAGGGAATAAGATAAAATTCACAATAGCTGACTGGTGCTCAAAAACAGCTATGTGTCCCTTATTAAAATCTGGAATACGTTAAAAATAACATGAGAGAGCTGGGTAATAGCTTACAGAAATTCTGTACCAAATCAGTATTTTTATCCAGTGATCATTTTAACCCTGAACATCCTGAACACTCAGTGGGATTCAGCATAGCTGCAGGGTTTTGTCTTAATCTGACCTTCTGCGAAATAATAGCAATTTTTTAGACTTTTTAAGACACCAACATCGCTTATAATTGATCTTATATGTCAAGACATATAAAATGCAAAGACTTAGGTTTTATCTGGAATAATGCTCAGAGAAACATTTCAGAGAAAAAAAATATGTCTTACAGTTTTAGATAGAAATCATAAAAGTGTTACCATTCCTGTTTTTCTCAGAAAAAATGCTATATTTCATGGCCTCCTCCTTGCCTCAGCTTAATCAAGAAGCTATAGACAAAACTTTTTTAGCCTGTTTTATAGAGAGAGCTCCATGCATTCTTCTGTTGTCTTGGCAATAGCTTAATTTACAATCCCTAGCTACCCTTAAAAGAGTTTTCCCAGAGACAGATAAAGTGACCACACAGGGATTTTCTCCTTTGACCTTTTCACACAAATCCCACTGTTCGGGAAAAAAGACCTGGGCACCTGTATACTGGTTGGGAAAAAAGTTTCCTGTATGATGTTTTTCTGTAGTCATCATTGGACGGATACTAAATTAATATCCAGAATCTTTCTAGTTCAAATTAGGGATTTAAAACACCAGACTAATTTTTGGATATCTCTGAAGCTTTCCAGAATGTGTCTAACTTCTGATTTTCTTTTTTCTTACTAAAAAGCTCCAAAAACGAGAGAAGACATGCAGGGCTTACCTTAAGGTATCTCTCCTGTGCTGTCACCCTGCTTTCTCCCTGCTTCAGCAACCTGCCACGCTTTATCATCTTGCTGCATGATCCTATGTATTTCAGTCTTTGATAAATGTGTATTGTGCCCCATATCAACTGTACAAATGTTGGCTTTGCACAGGTATAACACTCAGGAAAAAAAAGGTCAAAGTTTATACGTCTTTTACCTCAACTTGTTTCAAAGTATAAGAGGAGAAATAGTTATTATCTGAATTGGAAATAAAATCTCTCACATAATACAGCTTTTGGTGGAGGAAAAAGCTGGCAACTTAACAGAAATGACTTCAGCTTGGTAGTATTGCATATCAAAGACTGTTTAGAGTTAATTTGCTTGCATGAAAAATACATTATGTAGCCTACTTTGTTCTTTGTGCATTCCTATACCTAGTAAAACGATCCTTCTTACAATTTTAAGAGTTGTTACAAAGGCCAGATTCAGTGATTCCAGTATTAAATGGATAAATTTTTAGGACAAACAGTTCTCTAGCTTTACTAATAGAATATATGCCACATGTCCTATTAACCAGGCTATGTGAAAGGCATGTAACATTGCTGCCCGATTTTCAGTTTCTTTCCTCTCTGGTAAAATGGTTGCCCACAGTGGCCAGCTTCTGTTCTGTGATACAATGCAAATAATGCCACCTCATGCCTGTGAATAAGAGAAGAAAATGCCCTAGAAGATTGTATCTGTGTCTCTGAAAATTTTTAGTGCACATTTTTTTGAAGTTTCTTTTAAAATACTGTTTTTCACTTGTACCTTCTGAGATAAAATGTAAGAACAATTTTTGAAAAGAACTTTAAAATGCTTTGCAACATAATAAATTAATTCAGGCAGTTACTGAAGAGACACCTCTCTATAGCAGGCACTCTGACTTTCATCCTGCAGCTTAGGAAAGGGATGGGAGGTGTCCAGTTATGGCAAAAATTTGACAAAAGGAGGCCAAGATCTGGAGCGAATTTCACTTCTCAAATAATAAATATATATATATATATTATTAGAAAGTTTTTTGTTGTTGTTTGTTTGTTTTTTAATAGGAAAAGGAAACACAGCAGGTATTTACTAGACTGAATTTTCATTCTTTGTTTTCAATAGTAAACATTAACATGAGAAGAGTAATTATTGGGTTGCTTCAACAGATGCATCAGAGGGGCCACATGGTCTTCCTACTTTCCCACTCATCTTTGTCTGAGTGGAGAAAATGCCTCAGAAATCTTATTGGATAGGTGATCATTTACCACAGGAAAAATGCAGAGTTAGCTTATCCCATAATAAACAAAAAGCATTTCAGATTAATAAATGCATACCATCAGCACTAGATGGAGACACACAAGAAACCATAGCCACAACCTTAATTTTTGACTGGTGTCATTTTCTGTAGATCTCAAATGGGCTTCTCTGGTTAGATAAGACTAATAAACCTCTTGAAATGACAAATCAAAAGCTGACTTACACTATGCAAAGGAAGCAAGTTCCCACTTTGTGACAGAGGATTCATTTATACCTCAGATTAGAGGCTCCAATCTGTATTTCTTGGTGACTAATGAATCTGGCCTCTGCAGACCAATTTCTGTTCCACTCTAGTTAATGGCTGCAGCAGTATCAGTGTGAGCATTTTGACTATTCTGTCTCCCATTAGAGAAAGAAAAAAGGCTTTAATGCCACTTCGAAGTATCTTCCACCTGCCAGGAAGGTCATGGTGGCTCACAATGCAGACAGAAAGAGGATATTAAAATGGGTTAGGCTAATTAATCTTGCTCTGACAATAGCCTTGACCAACTTTTCCTATTCCTATTACACAATGTAGTATTCCAGACCAACATCTTTCTGTTTGTACACTGTGTTCTGTTTCCATTCCCAATACTTTCAAATTGATCAAACACATTATATATATGCTTAATGACACATTATGACTCGGTAAATGGGACAGAGTAAACAGGGTGTTTCAGCAATGCATGGCATACTCAATGCACAACATACTCAATGCACAGCTACATTATGCATTAATGTAAGAGCCTGCCTTCAATTGATTAACTGATTACTGTGATTGATTGGATTATTTTGTAAAAATAATGTAATCATGTCTCTGAATTCTTTTCTTCCTTATTTACTGTTACTTTATATGCAGCTTAATGAACCTTAAAACATAATGATAGAGTTGTTGCAGGAAAGACTTAAAATGGCAGCTTTATTCAGTTTTTCAGTTTTGCCTTCTCTGATAACAGGGACAGTCAGTGGACATCTTGTTTGCTCTATTGATTTCCTTTTTTAACTGACCTTTGTGTAGGAATGGGAGTTAGTAATCTTTTTAAGTATCTATGAACAGGTACAGGAACAGGAGGAGGAGTGAAAATGGCCCAGGCTAATTTATATCCACTGAGTCAGCTTCATTTCATGCCTCCTGTAATAAAGAAAGCAGTTTGTCATAGACAAGTAGTTTATAGCACAATGGCTGCATGAGTTGTGCTAAGTTTCCAGAAGAGTATTATTGCCATTTTAGCCTAAGCTGCAGAATGCCAATTTTGGCATTAGTATTTTTAAATATAAGTTATATATTTTGACATTAACTTCAAGATGAAAGCTTCAGGCAAAACTTCTGGCATTTATTTTTTATATTTTTTCAGCACATTAACAAAGCTGTCTTTATATTTGACAAGAGACGAGTCAAATCTGCATGTTTACCGCTTAGAGACTACACAATGCTAGTGGCTAACTGCACTTCTATTAATGCTTATCCAGCAAGGGGTTGGAAAATATTTTTATTTTGAAAATAGTTTTATAGTGCCATTAAATCACAGTAAATCATTCTGACAGTTAAGTATTATAATTGTCACCAGATAACGTTGGAAATTTTCCCCAGCTGCCTAGGGCAATCAGACCTAATGATAGTTTCCTAATGAATGCAGGCAATTGTTGATACAGTGGACAACCTGCTCAGGCCTGAAGCACTGGAGTCCTGGAAAGACATGAATTCTTCAGAACAAGCCCATGCAGCCACAATGCTACTTGATACATTAGAAGAAGGGGCTTTTGTCTTAGCTGATAATCTCTTAGAACCAACCAGAGTGTCAATGCCCACAGAAAATATTGGTAAGTGAATTTATTTTCAAGTATTAATTAAAGTCGTGTGCACCGCTTTACACACACACAAAAAAAAATATTCTGGGTTGCCACATGCTCTTTGAAAGGTGAGCTGCACGAAATTTTTAGAAAGCTATATGTTACCTGCCTGTGTATCAAAGGACTTGCTCCTGAAGAGGAGAAATGCTTTTCTTGCTTACTTAAACAAAATTAGCATTCTTCTTTAGTATCATTAATACAGTGTATAACATAAAGTAGTTGATATTGCAAAGTTGATTTACCACTGAAAAATCATTAGCAGAATGTATAGATATGAAGAGTACTTAAATGGCAAAGTATGGATTTTTTGAGGTAACTGCTTTCTGTAGGGCTGAGGAAATGCTTTTCTATTATATATAATCTGTTCCTAATGAATTTAAATTACTTTTTGCAATGCAGTCTTCCAGTTAAATATTTTAGGCACTCAGAGCATAGGCCAAATGTTTATATTAAACATGACTGTCTTCAGGTAAAAATGTGTTCAGTGGACTACATCTCCCATAATGCAGAATAGTTATGCTCCAGAGACTGCAAAATAGCTGAAGATAGTTGAAGCATAATTTGGAATTTAAGTGGTGACAGAGAAATGAAGGGGTTTGGTATTAGAGATGTGCAAATATTGGTACACGGGATGTGTTAAAGCAAAAATCATTGCTATGCATAAAATTAAAATTCCTTCATCTTATTACAGAGATGAATGTAGTCTCAGTGAAGTACAAGGAAGCTGAAAGTCTGCTAATTTGAGGGGTACCGAGATGGAGACTTGAATAGACTCAGAAATGAGACTTTTCACGTTTCAATGTCTGCATATTTGTAACTGTAGAACTGTAGAATATGATTCTGCCTAGTTTTTATTGAGTAGGAAGATACTGGGAAAAGATCAGGAAGGGTGTTATAGCCTGGTATAAAGTTGTTTCTGAAGGAATGATGGTAGAATTGCAGAAAGTTATCTGAGAAATTAACCATTATTATTTCCTCTAAATTATATTAGAAAATGTACTTTGGTTTCATGGGAAAAAAAATCTTTTTCCCAACTACATATGTTTAATTCGTAAGACCTTTATTTCTAAGACCTTCTAAGGTCTTTTCTAAGACATTTCTAAGATGCACCTTTGTGTAGACCTGGACATCACACTTAGGATGTACATGTAGTTCCATGGAGCTCAGTAGACTGTCTGAACATCACTTCCTAAGTGATAAGCAAATCCTGGTGGTGCATCACTGATGCCATGCAAATCTGAGTAGACCAATGCTGAATTCCCAACACACTTACTTGTACGTGGTTTAGAGAATGAGGAATGGCTCTCCTAAATTCCTTTTGTAGGTCCATAGTTTATACCTATGGACTGATAATTAAACTAGTTTAATGTAACATAGATATTTTACAAAAAATTGACCACTCTGACCCATATAATTTACATATCTCAGGAAATTCATTCTTTAATGATAATCCCATGAAAGCTGCTCAGTATGCATTGCGATATGAAATTAAAACTGACTGTCTGAGTGAGATCTAAATTTTCAATTTCAATACTGTTTTTTAGCAGAACCAATACATTTTTTTCCTATCAACCTTTATACAAAATTATATTTAGGAAATATATATTTAGATATGAATATCTCTTTAGCTAAATACATGGCATAGGTATACTTAGGCATCTATTTGCTGACTTTTAAAACCTCTTTATATCTAAATCAATACTTGAAGCTCTAAATCTGCTGGCTGTGGATACTGCATAGTCGTTAGAAGCTTCAAAATAAATGTTTATCTGCAATATGTGTATTCGTGGTATTTTAAGTGGATTTTTTGGTGGCACACATTAAAGCAAGGTTTGATGTTGTGTTTTCACTATTAAAATACTGCCATTTTAGTAGTATGCACTAGGTTTAATTAAAGTTTAAAGAAACTAACTCTATGTAGTTGAAACATGCCGGTACAGATCTGTCTTTCTGGTGGCAAATGTAGAGCAGCAGTGTAAGAAAACTAAATAAAGATTGGGGGAAATAATTGTCATCTGGCATATTGCAATCTGGCCAAAAGACTATCTCTGCATCCTCCTTTTTAACACTTCTTTTTTTTTTCTTGGGTCTGCTTAGTTTTGGATGTTGCAGTGCTCATTACTGAGGGCCAGGTGCAGGACTTGAAATTTCCTCAGGGCAATAAAGGAGGCAACTCGATTCAGCTCTCTGCAAGCACTGTGAAACAGAACAGCAGGAATGGTGAGTCCTGGGCACATAGCACTGCAACTCCATCACATTTTATAAAACCTACACTACCTCCTCTAGTTAAAAAATCAAAACAAAATACAACAAAACTACTTTGTGGCTTTTTCTTGAACATAGTGGGTACCTGGGCTTTTTTCTTCAAATCCGTAACCTGAAAATGTCCCTCTGTTTACTTATTTTCCACTCCTTAGGGTTACAGGTTGCAGCTTTTCTGTATAATTCTCTATGGCATGATGATGGGATTTGTTTTCTTTCGTAGGGTTAGCAAAACTGGTTTTCATCATTTACAAAAGTCTGGGGCGTTTTCTTAGTACTGAAAATGCAACCATAAAGCTGGGCAGTGACTTTGCTGGGCGGAACAGTACAATTGCAGTCAACTCCCACGTCATTGCAGCCTCTATCAACAAGGAGTCTAGCCGGGTGTACCTGACTGATCCTGTGCATTTTACTCTGGAACACATTGATGTGAGTTATGCTAATGAATTAATGGGAAGGTCATAAAATCAGCAAGAGAGAAAAGCAATGCAGAAAAATAACCTTTTTTCCATTTGAATTTTAAATGTTGGTCTAGGTCAGAAACATGAGCTTAGTTAAGTCTATGAACATAAAATTAAATGAGCCTGGTTCAGTGATTATTAGAACTTAAGTGTATTCTTAATGAAAGCTAATTCAGTAATCAACATGAAAATGTAAATGACTAATTTGTTTCTAACTAAAAATTAACTCTTACCTTAGTAGCAGGGTAGAAAACAACTGTTAAGATTCATGTTTGTCTGATGTAGCAAATTTAAATGACACTTCAAATTTTTACATTAGATTTGGACCAAGCTCTGGAAGCCTATACAAAGGAATTGCTTAGAATGAATTTATTTAATGAAGAATGAAATATAATATCTTTTTTTTTTAATCATTTAAATGTGTGTATATATTTTTTCATGATAATTTATTTGATGTTTCTTTGCTCTTCTGTTTGATCCTGTCTGTTTTCATGTCTCACATGGGGAAAGTAAATAGCACAGTGACAGAGAAAATATGGTTGGATTTTCCTCCCATTTTGCCCTTTTTTATAAATCTGTTTTGATTGCTTTTTATCCAAATAGATAAGACACTGAAGAATTAAATTTTTCCTAATGTCTGTTCGCATGACTTTGGCCTGACCAAATGTTAGAATCAAAGAAGATCATATTTTCAAATTCTCAGCTACAGGAAAAAAAAAAATCTCTTCAGAATAAATGTGCTGTCCTAATTTCACAGACAGCAAAAATGGCTATAATGTACCACCGGTGCATAAAGTTGTAAGATGGAAATTGTAATTGTTTAAAATTGGGTCTACAGTAATTGAGACTACACTTTAGAGTGTTTCGGACTATAAAGTCCCTTTTAAACTAGATGTCTTCCTTGTATAACATAGTCCACAATTTTGCTGATGAAAAACTTTATTGTCCGAAACATGCAAAGTTTAATCTAAATTACCCTTTACACATATTAAACAATTGTTATTGCCATCTTAGTGTGTAAAATCCTGATTTTATTTTATCCTTTTATCTCCCAGCCTGACAATTATTTCAATGCAAATTGTTCATTCTGGAACTACTCGGAGAGAACTATGATGGGATACTGGTCAACTCAAGGCTGCAAACTGGTTGACACAAATAAAACTCATACAACATGTGCTTGCAGTCACCTAACCAACTTTGCAATTCTTATGGCTCATCGGGAAATTGTGGTAGGTAATGATATTTCTAGCCATCAGCAGGAAACAAACTTTCAAAGATTAGCTTTAAATTTTCAGCAGGATACAAAATTGCTGAAGTTTCTTAAGTATTTATAGCTTCTACCTAGTTACTCTAAAACAATTTGCTTTCCATAGCACTTTCCATTCTCACTCATAAAGTTACAGGTAAGATAACAGAAAGACAAAGAAGGACAAGAGACTTCTTCAAGTCATACTTTAAAGTAAGTGACCATCTTAAAACCATTTTACAGACTTTGCATTACAGTTGGAGACTACTGGGGGGCAGCTGTGCAGGCTGTTCCCACAAGCACAAGTGCCAACTCTTTTTAAAGCAGGAAGGTCAAAGAGTTGGTGATGATATCTTAAATGCCTTTTCATACTCTGAAATTCTGTTGTCTAGTTAAAGCATTTACTGGATGGCAGGGGGCTTAGAGGAAGCAATATTTGCAAGGAAATGAGACTTTTCATAAATCTACTGTATTCTGAAGGGTCACTGAAGATATAACTGAGATGACAAAAATGATTCTGCTGGAACTGAAGGAAGGAACCGTCTTTAGCTAAATGTGAGATTAGATGTCAAATTACATATGTAACATATTCTGCATTTTGTCCTAATGGTTGTATTAATCACCACTTTCTTCTCCACTGTGGAGTTGCAGGTTTGTAGGAAAGAACATGTACGCTTACAGGATGTCCAACAAAAGTTCTTTTCATCAGAGCCTAGTGGTACTTTCAAAATGTTATGTGTCACCAATTACATTTGCCTTACAAGTTTACAGAAAGTCATAGAAAAAGTGAAAATGCTGTCTAATCTGGCTAAAATAATCTTTTGCTCTTAGACCTGCTCCTCTTCTACTTCTCCTAATCTTGTTCTTCTGGGAAGCTGACCTGAGACTGAGAAATTACTGAATACATTTTGTCCATCTCATGTAATAAACAAGTAACTTTTTTAGATGCTACCTGTTAAAATAGATTTTTGTTTATGCTCATAAAGAGTCATATTAATTTTCTCCATTCTTGGTTATTTCTAGTACAAAGATGGAGTGCACGAATTGCTCCTCACTGTCATCACCTGGGTGGGAATTGTCATCTCTCTTGTTTGCCTGGCCATCTGCATCTTCACATTCTGTTTTTTCCGTGGCCTACAAAGTGATCGTAACACTATTCACAAGAATCTTTGTATCAACCTATTCATTGCTGAGTTCATTTTCCTAATAGGCATCGATAAGACAGAGTACAAGGTAAGACTTCTGTGTGTGTACTGTTCTTTTTCTCTCAAATGACTGTTTGAAACAGATTTGAATTAAAACAAGACAACACTGCCAAGCTTTCAGCATTCTGACACAGCAAGTCTGAAATGAAAGCTCTAAGTGAAAATAAGATAGACATGTTCATAAATAGTATTTGTATTCATCAAAAATATCACTGGCCTTAATTTCCCACGTACAGCACTGCTTTTCATTTTCCATTGAGAAACATCAGCTATTAATGAAGCAGGTGGTTTAAACTTCTGAAAGAGGAGCTGAAATGAAATGTTGATATACTAGTAACATACGTATTTTCTCTCTGTATATTCTCATAAGTCTCAACAACTATTGACAATTTTTTCATATATATATATTATATAACTACAGAGATGTACTTATCTATTTATTCATTTTTGCACTGCACATTCATGCAGGCTTTTTGTCAGTATTCATGAAATTAATTCTGTCATTCAGAAGCAATTCTTTGTGTTGAAATCTAATAATCTGTTAGAGTTTCATCCAGAATTCAGCTATAGAGGAGAGAATTCAGGCTGATTTCTGTTATGACAGTAGAAACTTCCAAAACTACATCAGATAAAAGTGACTTGATGGATGCTTCATAATTTTACATAAGCAGTATTACATTATGCATCTAGAACCAACTGTTCATGCTTCAGATAATCTAAACTACAAGCCTTAAATCAATTTCAAAATTAACGTGTTGTTTATAAAAATGAAAACCACTGTATAAGTGAAAATTGGAGGGTAAGAGTGTGGTTTTCATATCTGCATTCCTACTGTTTGGCTTAATTTCCTTTTTGCAGCTTCTGTGAATGTATTAGTATTTGCAAATGTTCAATATGTGTTTCAGGTTGGGAAAATGCTCCTGAATTTATGTAAAATCTCTGATAGATGTATATGCTGTTCTATTATACCCTATTTGATTAGAGATGTAATGATGTAAAGATTTTGTGGTTCATACTTCCATCTTTCTTTTTCTTTTCAGATTGCATGTCCAATATTTGCAGGTCTCTTACACTTTTTCTTCCTGGCAGCCTTTGCCTGGATGTGTCTAGAAGGAGTGCAGCTTTATCTAATGTTAGTAGAAGTATTTGAAAGTGAATATTCTAGGAAGAAGTACTATTACGTTGCTGGCTACCTGTTCCCTGCTACAGTAGTTGGTGTCTCAGCAGCTATTGACTATAAGAGCTACGGAACAGAGAAAGCGTAAGTAATTGCAAGTGACCTGAGTGTTTTTCAAGTGAATAATTTTTTTAAGCCTATTAGCTGTCAGAGGGTCCCTGACAGACTAAAATACCATCTGAAGCTTTATTGGTAAGAGAATGGCAATGTGGTGCACAAATTACAATCAAGTCTTTTGTAATTCTCTAGGTTCAGCAGATTTTTACTCTAGAGAGACCAATTCTAAATTATGGTCTTTCTTTTAGCACAAAAGATTGACCTGAAACAAATTGAAAAAGTAAATAACTTTTGGGCCTCAATGTGTATTAAGTAAAAATTCTTCTCAATTTAAAGTATCTATGGGCTTAACCACCCAGTTTTTACCTAATGCTTCATTAGATCTTTTTGTTCAATTGTCCCTTTAGCTAACTTTCATCCTGAATTGTGATAGTACAATATTCCAACCCATATAGTTCACTTTGATAACATTTTATCAGGCGAGTAGGGCAGGATTAAAATTAGCCACTGCTTTTTATTTATAAAAATATAGATACATTTATGAAGTGACAGAACGTAGACAGAAAGCATTTTTGAGGATTTGAGTTGATGGAGGCATGAACTTGCCTTCCAGTAGCGTTTACTTTGTCCTTTGATGAAATTAGTTACAGGATGGGAAGAGACTGTTGACTACAAGAAAGCTGCTTGATTTTGCTATTGACAAATAAGAGCGATTCAGCAGGGAACGGTATGAAAAACAAATCACTAAATGAAGTCAGCCCTAATAGGTTTACACGTCATTTGGTCAGCCGTAATAGGTTTACACGTCATTTAGTCTGGTGTCATATACATTCTTTCTCTCATGTCCAACTCCCAGTTGGGGCATTTCATTTATAACAGATTGTTTTTCAGAAAAATGTGTCATCTGAACAATTTCTGTCTCATATTCTTTATGAGTAAGCACAATGCATATGATGCAAAGTTAAAAGCAGATTCCTAAAATGTCACGGAAAACCTGTGAAAAGTATTCACTGATGTTACACTCAGTAATCAGTGACAACACCTGTGACCAAACCTTTTAACTGGAAGAAGAGAGAGTTCATTTAGTTTTTGGTTTTGTTTCTTCTTTCTACGTTAGCTAGTCTGATGATGTACTTTGATGTTCAATGGTGTTATTAAACTGGACTCATCAGAAGAGTTACAGGTTAGGAAAAATTTTCCATGGACTAAGTGATACTGTGTACTGTTTATTGTTGTTTACTGACAAGTTATAAGACTAAGAAATATTTCTGCACTTTTAATTCATTGGACTGTTCACTTTTCAATCTCTTCTTTTTTTTCTACCATAGTTGCTGGCTCCATGTAGATAACTATTTTATCTGGAGTTTCATTGGGCCTGTTACCTTTATTATTCTGGTAAGAACTTTTCTCCTTTCATTTTACGTTGCCTTACAGCAAAGTTTGAAAATCAAAAGAATGAATAACATCTGTCATTATTCATTCTTATTCATGATACATTTCATGAAAATTCTTATAAACAATTTGTAGCATGACCAGTGGTTATGTATATAAATGTTTAGGAGTCTTTAGAGAGTGCTGACCAAATGATTAATTGTCAAAGCTATGGTGGCACTTCAGCATAGTCATTTTTCCTTAATGGCTTGAACTCTGAAGGTCATATTGACATGAGTAGTCATATGAAAAATCAATGAAATAATACTAAACCCATTTTTTTTTAAAGGAACCATTATTGCTTTCAATTGAGTTACTATTGGACATGTTCCAGAATTTAACTGCTAACTATCCAATATAATTATCTCAAAAGGGTATTCTAATGTGTTGGATAATTAAGAGAATCTTATATCTTGTTATATTTATACAGTACTTATATCTATATTTGCATATGCATATTTTTCAGTGACTGTTTCTGTATGTATTTATGCTACATGCAGTGCATATCAGACACCCAAGTTCCTCTGTTTCAGCATAAACAATATTATGTAACCAAAAGCTTATACACATTCTTGCAATAAACTCCATAAATTCATTGTATGCATACAGACCCATATACACACCAATGCCTGTGTGCCCCATTGTCCATTTTACACATCCACTGTCCGTTCTCTGAGCACCACTGTGCAGTTTCAGGTAAAAAGCGCATAGTCATCTGTCAACCCAGGGAAAAAACATCTCCCTGTTATTTCAGGTTAATAATATCAACACTGTACAATCCAAGAATTTAGAAGGAAAATGAATGCAAAATGTACATTTTGTCTCACCTTGTTTTTAATCTGGTAGTTTAGGATCTTTAAGCCTGGCAATGCTCAGGAAATACTCAAGAAAGCTGGGACTGGGGACTGGTATATAGAAAGCTTTTTCCATCACTGCTGATAGTTCATAAGGATGTTTTCATGCTTCTGAAAGTCTAAATAGTTTCCTGTACCTCTGCCTTTATACAGTAATGGAGTTGTGAAAAGTAACAGAAGTTACTATTTTTTTCCCTGAAGGGCATTCATCAGGCAGAATTTTGAAATTTCTGACTGTTATAGATCTGTATGCCAGACATACTATTTTGTTTTTGGTTTTGTTTTTATTTTTATTTTTATTTTATTTTTTAGCTTATAGGTTACTTCTGCATGTAAGGATAAACTGGGACTTTTATTTTGGAAATTTCAATTAAAAATGTACCCAGCCAATCTTTCATAAGTTCTTTATTCTCTCTTGGTATTGTTCTTTATTCCCTCTTCAATATTGAAATAAGCTTATGTGTATTTAGGTCAGTGTCACTCACTGTTTACATTGAAAACTGTTTTAACTCTTGAGTAGCCCCTTTAGAAAATACAACTGTTCAGCATAGTTGTTGTTTTAGTTCATTGGCATATTTTCAAATAAGTAGGTTTAGATCTATATATAAATTGAATTAGAAACATTAATATCTTCAAAAGGTTTTTGTTTAGAACATTATAATTTTGTGGAGTTTATTCTAAAAGCATTTAAATTAAATCAAGTATCAGGATAATAGCAACTTTATAAATTAAACCTACAGTTCTGAAAGAGATCCTTTGTATTTTCAATGAGAGGTGATATTTTTCAACACAAAGTTGTTCCTTCCAGTTGTAATGATTACTAGAAAATTGTTTGAAGTTTCATGTCACAGCAGTTCAGTTACCTCAAGTCTGATTGGTGATAATTTCACTTTCTGTGTCTAGCTTTTTATTTTATTGTTACTGCAAGTATTTTGCTAAGTCACCTCTATTTCAGTCTTGCTTTAAAATAACATTTCATGTGGGAAGCTTTGGGCATTGCTGACAGCTTTTTCACTTCCTCATAACCAGGTCAGAGTGAGAATAGAGGTGAAGGACATTTAATCATATTGACCATGTACAGACATAGTTCACTATTATTTACTGGCCATGACATTATTATCCTCCAGCAAATCATTTAGGCTGAGACGCAAAAGGCCTTTGGGAGCAGTATTCCCAACTTCAAAAATATGAAACAGCAGGTAGCAATCACAGCACAGTTCCTGGGAGTAATTCTTCTCTAGCAATTGCTTTGCCCTCTAATCGTCCCAACTGAGAAAGCAAGAGAGACTGGAGGAAGTGTGAGAAGTGTAATGGCTGAAAAATAGTACATTGTGAGCAGTGTAACAAAAGAAGAGCCATATTTGCAAAGTAGCATCCTTAGTAGTGTGTAAGAAATTCACTTTGGTAAGCTTTTTTAACATGTTAAAACAATTTCTTTACAATGTTGATTACTACTTTAATTCACAACATTTTCTCTGAGCTTATAAGCTGTTGCACTTGTATTTGTATACGTGTCTGTGCAAAAGGATGGGGAAGTAAGGGAGGGGAAGTATGAAGTTCCTCAGTACATCTTCTGAGGAACTTCCAACTTTGCTATTTCCATAGCCTGCCATGCCTTTGGGCACCAGGGTTATTATATCTATGGAAAAAGAGCATGTAAGTAATGAGCGGTGGGAAACCATTAGTATGCCTGAAATGGTTTAATGAAAGCTTGGATCATGACACGTCAGGAGCTGTTCTTATCATTTGGACAGCTCCATCTGCATCTTTAATAATTAATTCAGTTCAGTAAGAGTTCAGCTTGCACACTCATTTAGAAGCCTTCTTCAGAGAGCACCTCTCTCACTGCCAGTCCCAGAGAGAAATAGGCTTCTGCATGGCTAAGAGCAAAGATCTGGAGATACAAGAACAGTTTTAGAGCTGCATTTGCCAGGTAACAAAAGCTCCGGGGAGTTCAAAAAGGGTCAGAACATGTGCAGTTCAGCTAGGTTACTTCAGAGTGGTGTTTCTGTTCTTCTGTCTTATCATATCCATGTCAGCACTGCAGGCTGTGTGGAATGAATTTTAAGCTGCTAAGCTCAGGCGGACGTGATTCAATTGAGCTGGTTGATGGCTATAAAACAAACAGTGCACTCCTGTAATCTGTGGTGAGAAAAGCCTGAGTATTTTGACTTCTATGTAGATCCGTCTTCATTCATATTCAAGAAATGGATGAAGTTGATTTGACTTTAATTCAGCTAAAACAACTAGAGTTTGCTCCTCTCAGATGGAGCCAATTGATTAGGCTACCAAAGGCTACTTAAGCAAAAATTCATAGGATGTCTTGTTCTGTTAACATTGGAAAGAGCATTTCTCTTCTTCACTCTGACTGAGAAGTTCACCAAAGTCTATATGTATAGATATGGTTGCACACATATCTACCTCCACATTTAAAAGCAGCCTGTATTTGCAAGCTTATGCATATAAATAATATATATATTTTACAGCAGACACTTGATAAATGGTATTTATCTGCTGCTCACAAGGAAAAAATTATCATAATTTTTGCAAAATCTAGCTTTCTTTGGCCACTAATTCATTGTACCTGTGACTAATTCCAATCCATTAGTCTTCTGTTCAGGTTATTACATCCACTTTTTTAAAAAGGTAATTTGACTTTGAGACATTCAGTCTCTTAAAATTATATGGGTTTCGGGTGAGAAAAAGACAAAATCCCCACCTGTATAATCTATCATATCGAGTACCTTCTGATTTCCAAACCAGAACTGCCATTGTTTGTGTTGGATCTGAAATAAATATGATCTTCCAAGGAGATCCATTTGATTATTACCATAAAAATTATGCAATGTTAATATTTTAAAGTAGTGATATTTTAACTTTATTTAATATGTATTCATTTGTCTTTATTTTGCGCAATTCTATCCAATTATATTAGTCAAATTAAGAGACAGAAAGGAATGGGTACTTTAAAAGGTATTCTACTTTTTTTTTGTACTTTACATACATTTCCAAAATCAGTGTAAAGATTAAACTAGTTGTCTATGTAATCCAGTATCCTGTTTCTCATAGCGGCTATATATTTCAGAAATTATAGCAAAAAAATAACATAAACATCCATGAAATACTATTGTAAAATATTTTGCCAGTGTTTTAAGGTGATCAGACATGATAGCTCCACCTACTGTAGCCCTGTGTTCTGTCTCTGCAGAATTACAGCAGAATTCTCAAATCCTATCCTGATTCCTGACCAGACTTTTAAATTGTTATTTTCAGACTCATAGGGAGGGATTGTCTGATTTTCAGAAGTGCAGTGTGAACAAGAAAGAGATTTTACAGACTACAAAGGTTGCAATTCTCCATGGCTGCATACACAGAGATGTGTTCACTGTCAGTGTGTGTGTGTATACAAGGTGTTTATATTTTTTTATTGCTGTTGAAGGAGGGCGGTATTGTTGAGGTACATATTTTGGTTCATCTGGGATGAATGCAACCCAATTGTCAGGATGAGGCCTACCCATCAGTAGCCCATTGCGTTATAAGAAGTTTGATGAATGTTATAGGCCCAAATTTGCTTTTGAAAGTCCTCCTTGCTGTTCATGTGGGCCTTTATGTGATGCCAGAGTTACTTCATGACTGTGGTGAACGTTCTTAAAGAAAGGTGGCTTACTGAGGCCCATCTGCCAAGCTGGAGAAGTATCCATGAATTTATTTGCTTAGATTACTAACAGTTCAATCATCAGTCATGATATAATTCAGGTTGGAAGGGACTTCCTGTGATCTGTGGTCCAGCATCCTGCTCAAAACAGTCTGAACAGACCAGTTTGCTCAGGGCCAAAAAAGCTTTCCATATACAAAATTAGTACAAATGAACGTGAAAGCAATAAGTTTGTTTCCTTCTTGTACAAACTTCTTCCCCCATGTATTTCGCACCAAGAAAAGTGATGTAGCTGCTCTTTCTACAAGTTATTATTCTCTGACAAATTCCCTTCTCTCACTTCTTAGTGTCTGGTGTCATAAAATGGCAGAATGCCCAAAAATCTTTAACTCATGAGTTCCTCCAAAACAATCAATTTCTAGATGAAGAGCAGTGAGGGGGAGCCAAAAGTGACTGCATTTATAGAAAGGTTTGGTTACGGTTTTTGTAAGCAGGCAGGATAGGCTATCGGTAACGACACAATGTGCAAAGGGGTGCTAGTGTATCTGAACAAGTGGCAAACCATGGTCTTTGACTGCTGAAACTGAAAACCAAGCAATATTTCACAGTGATGGAGAAACAAGTATCATATGCCCTGTTGTCATAGTTACTTTGTCTTCAAAGTAATTTTTTTTTCCATAGGAGGGCTTCTTCAGCTACTGTGATACAGCAGTCTTATTTTCTGTCAGATGTTTTTGGTGCTCTGTTTACTCAGTTATAATTAAAATGTATAGTAAGCAACTGTTATGTAAAGTTATTTTCTAGTCCAGCAAGGACATAGAGATAGACAGAGCTGAGAAGCTACATAAAAACCTTTTAATGTGCTGGAGCTTGGTTTAGGCTCTAGGGTAGGGCCATTCCGGCGTGTATGTAACTGGAGGAACCTTAGTATCTAAATACAAGCTTTTTTTTTGATATGTCACTTCACTCCTACACAGAATCAGAGGATATAAACCTCTCATTGCATTAGGCAGCCATTTACGGGTTAGGCCATGCCTATGAGTTTTTGATCCAAGAATGATGTTGCTGCTATATCCTATATTCAGGATACTCCAGGTTAGCTTCTTAGGCAAGTACCTGTGCTGTAAATACTGTTCTGAACTGGCACACAGCGTCCATCCTGATTTTGAGAGTACAGCAATAGCGATAATTTGGTTGCCCATAGCATTGGGAATTATTTCTGTAATATATGTTTTTGTTAAACAAACTGTGATCAGAGTCTTCAAAATACTCCTAAGTATAAACAGTAAATACTGTTAAGATCTTCTGTTTACTAGGAATGCAGTTACATTTCTGACCATTGTGGCACAGCTGTAGGAAGACTTCTGGTATGAAATGTTATCTCCAGTATTACAGATACTGTGAGGAGTTTGATGCTTTCTCAAATCAAAGACTACCCAAAATAGGGGACTGGGTTTGATGATTCCCATCATTGACCATTTGAAGATGTATAGGGAAGTTTGTAAGAATGGAGTTATAGTCTTTTTTTTGTATGTATGTTATAAGGATATCCAAGCATATTCTTCCATCTTCCGTTAGTGAATTGGTTTAGTTATTTCTAGTGGACTGTTGTACTAATAGATAGGGATGTGTTTTTTTAATTAATGAAGGGGCATAACTCTTACTGTTCTCAAACGTGATTTTATTTGAATTGTGTGCGTGATATAGGATAGTACGTACTAATTATTCAAATTAACTGTATACAACTTTTCAATTCATATTGTGCAGGCATCCTTTGCTTTGGCTTACCTATGTTCTTCACTTGCTCTGAAATTGATAGCAGAAAGGCACCTAGTGCCTTTGATACCTGTGATGCCATTTTACAATAGGAGCTATAAAAATTATGTTCACTATCTTCCCTATATGAATGACACAACAAGAATAAGACAGGATAGTCCTTTCCTTCAAGTGGCATGCAGTTGCACTTCAACAAAATCCAGACTACAGAAGGAAAGAGGGCAGTAGGAGGGTGCGCACACAGGATGTGTCTCTGGCACTGTTAAGTTTGATGCATTTGCTACATTTTTACATTTCTTTTTTTTTTTTTCCTCTTTCTTTTTCTCTTTCTTTAATTATATTTTAGCTGTTTTCAAGACCCGAGTGGGATTTGTGAGAGTAAAATTATATAACAAAAAAAAAAAAAAAGAAAGAAAGGGAGAAGCCAGCAAAGATGAAAAACCTTCCTGGAGCAGAATGGGATGGTGAAAAGGTGACTAGTACAGCACAGTAAAGGGTAACTGTAGTCTTCGGAGGAAGTCAGTGAGATGGAGAACAGGGCCAGAATTAAAAGGCAGAGGTGAACAGGGAGTGAGACAGAGCTAGACAGACACTGACTAGTATCGGACATGAGCTGAATGAGGCTGGTTCATGATGCTGGGGTCAGTTTGGCAAAATCAACTGAAACAATGACTTAAAACATTTTTGCCCCACGTCTGTATTTGCAATCACCTTTTATAGACTGTCTGATAAAGTTACCCAGTTTCTCTACATATTTGAAAATAAACAATGGGGTTTTGCTTAGGTTTTAACATTCTTATTATTCAACCTATTACTTGAAGTAGTTTAATTTCATTCTTATCTGTTTTGACAGCTGAATCTTATCTTCCTGGTGATCACATTGTGCAAAATGGTGAAGCACTCAAACACTTTGAAACCAGACTCTAGCAGGTTGGAAAACATTAAGTAAGTGCTTTGTGTTCAAGTATGAGAACTATGATTATTTTCTGATTGCTGAACTGATTGAAAGCTACTCTCCATTAGGAGCACATGCCATTGTCTCCCAGCAACTGCAGATGTCAATTAGAAGCAAACAGAACCAATCCTGCTTTCGTCACATTGTTGCTCTAATCTCACAAACACTGGTCAAAATTAGATAATTTCAGCCTGGAACTAGTGCCAAGAAGCTGTTTCACGGAAATGCCACAGAACTGTAGTAATTTCATTTGCATTTAAAATGCACTTCAAAAATGATGTCCCTGTTTGCATGACTGATATGATTATATTAAGTTTGTTTTGTTAAATGACTTTTTGATTTAGGGATTCTGAGCAGTTTCTTCTCGTAATCCTGTTCTCCCAAGAGAATTGACTCTATTATTATTGTTAACTTGAAGATTATCTGCTGTTTTCATGCTAATTTAACAACTGTTTACTTTATCTTGGTGCTGTACTGTAGTATCCCTTTTTCAGAGTAATATGTGTTATATAATTAGCAAGGCTTTGTCAGCTCTTGATTCTTTAGATAGTCTTTTAGTGTATCCTGTATAGCTTTATGTTGTACCAAAGGTTTTTGTTATCAACACTAAAGGGATGGTGCAACTTTATAACACTAAGGGTTGGATGCAAAAGAGTCTTAGAGATTTGCTTTGAATGTTGAAAATGGCAAAGGGAAATTTACAGTAAGGCTAACATTGTGAACTAGATGTTACGGATAGGTCAGTATCAGCTTCATTGCATGTTGCATGATGAGAGAGAGAGCTAATCTTTAGCATCTCTCTCTTTTCTTCCTTTTCCTCTTTCTGTCTTCTCATCCACACCAGTAATTACCGTGTTTGTGATGGCTACTATAATACGGACTTACCTGGGTAAGACAGAACCCTCCATTAACAAATTTCTGGCATGACTTTTAACTTTACAAACTCAGTCAATATTGTGGATTGCCCTTAATTTTAATTAACTAATTTTGAGATACCTGATTTGCTAAAGATTTTTTAACTATTATATGCCTTTATAATTTTAAATTGCTTGCCTCTGCATTTTGAACTTCCTAATTTTGACTAATTTTTATAGACATTTAAAAATGCTCTTATTATTTTCTGTTTCAATTCTGTCTAATAATTTTGTTTCTCTTTTCTGCTTATAATGCTTTCTAGCTATGAAGATAATAAGCCATTTATCAAGTAAGATCATTAGTTAGATGTGGAATTCACTGACTAAATTCCCTTTCCCTTCCATTCTGTGCCGTTCTCTACAGTTCCTTTTCCTTAACCTATTCATGATGGAATCTTTTTTAGACTATTCTATAAAGCAATATCCATATTTTTGCCACATTTCAGCAGGGTTTCTTCATGCGGAAGTTAGATCATCTAGCTTCAGTTTAGCCGAGTTTATCAGAGCATTAAAGATTTGGGCTCTAGGCTTTTAATCTGCTGTTTAACCTTTGTGTTACATTATTTGGCGTCATATGGCAGCACCACTGTTTAAAATCTATGGTGTGATTAGAGGCTAAGCCAGATTTATCAATCTCTTTTGTAAAAGCAGATAAGGCAATGGCATAGCTGGGGTTTGCACTATACTTCTGCATTTCAAAATATTTTTGATATCCTATGCAGTTCTTGAAAAAGAAAAAGGTCATATCTACTCTTGCTGTTTCCACTGGAGACTAAAAGTACCAAATGGAATTGTTCTGTCTTTAATAGATGAAAGGTTAAACCCAAGGAATTTTTACATTTGAATATGAACCTAGTAAAAATCAACTGCAGGAACTGAAATGTTAATATTGGATTTGGCAACATGCAATCTTATAAGTAATGATAGTAAAACTAATTTTCTTTTACAGATCCTGGGTCCTGGGTGCATTTGCTCTTCTGTGTCTTCTTGGCCTAACGTGGTCATTTGGCCTGCTGTTTATCAACGAGGGGACAGTTGTGATGACTTATCTCTTCACAGTATTTAATGCTTTCCAAGGAATGTTTATTTTCATCTTTCACTGTGCCCTTCAGAAGAAAGTAAGTTACTGAAAACATGAATGCGTGCTACCTAACTCCTAATTAATACCACATATTTTTCTTTAAAAATAGAGAAAAATATATAAGGTTTCAAAAAGAAAGAGGAGTATTTTGAAGTAGTTAGGGGAAAGTACTAGGATTCAAAACCAAGTCTTGCTCTTTGTGCTTCTGAGAGTCATTTAGCTGCTCTGTGGCCTAGATTGGATTAAAAATGGCTGCAGCATTTCCAACCCAGGCTTGAAAAGTCTTGAGGTTTTGGGAACAAAATTATTATAGAAAATGTTTAACGTTGGTAATGTGGTATGTATGATTTTGAATTTATAGCCAAAAGTCCTTTATGTGTTCATGAAACAAATCCTGCCTGCAGCACTGAAAACAAAGAATCATTTACGATATGAGCCCATTTTAGCCTGGAAACACTCTCTCAGATCAAGGCAGAAGACCTCTCTTGAGATCCCATTAAGCTGCCACATAAAGCTACGGGTGATAGGCAGGGATTATGCTATGAGTGCTTGTTCATTACAAAATTAAGAGAGATCTAAAAATTAATTTCATTGTGAACTTCAACACACCTAAGAAAAATAGTAGTCATTAACAGTAGACAACTGCTAACGGGGACAATTTTCTAAATACGCCAGCATGACTACTTCTTTTCAAGTGTTTGCTTCCCCCAGCAATCCAACAGCTAAGTGTTCTTAACTGGAAAAACTGGAAGTTCTTGGCAAGCTCCTTCTCTGATGAAGGGGTATGCTAAATTAGTTCTGCTCTCTTTTTCCCATTGGGAACAGTGAGGTCCATACAGAGCATATCTGCTGTGGAGACAGAAAACTTACAGGGGAGAGAGGAACGGACAGGAGAGAAGGAAGTGAAGGGTGCAGCAAGGAGGGATTCTCTTGGGGTTTTCTGCTCCCCTTCTCTTCCCCAGACTGAGAATGGAGAATGTTTCTATGGATGCCTTAGAGATGCTTCAGTAAAGGATAAAAGGAAACTGCTCATAGAAGGCATGGCAAATGAAAATAATGAGAGGAGAGGGGAAGGGTAAATGTCAAAAAAATCACAAACCACATAGCATAGGACAAAATGCAATAAATCCTTCATCTGGAAATACCCAACTTGCAATATTTAGGTTCTAAACATTTTTACTAGTTTTAGGCAGGAGACCTAGCAGTTATTAACTCCCATTATAATTAGCTCACCAGAGACATAATTAACTGATATTTATAAAGTGGTTTGAGATCATTGCATAAAGCATTGCTGTGTAAGGGCAAAATCACATTCTTGCGTGTTCTAAACTATACCAGCTCTAAGAGTATCAGTGTGTCTAGATTTAGTGTAAATAATGGCTTTCAGACATGTTTTAGGGAAAGATCTGTGAGACAGAAAGAATTTTATCCAGATGAACATGGCACTGCTCTCGTTTTGACAGAACAAAATCACACTTAGAGAGGAGATTAAGAAGAGAGGGAAGAAAAGGCACACATTTTCAAAATGCAAATAATTTCTAGATTAGGGTTTCATATAATGTTGCCCTTTTTACCACTTGTATTGGACTTGAAAATCAAAAATAGATTCATTTTATATTTCTTTTTACAGCTGGGCATTGTTTTTATATTAAGTGGAGTCAGCAAAAAGCAATATTAAAATACCAGTCAAGTATGAAAAAGCATAACTTGGAGCAATAAGATTTATACCTGAAAGAATGTTAAAGCTGCCATTTAAAATTTTTAAGTTTTGATGCCTTTGACTGGATATTATCCTATCCTCTGTCTGCATAGCTAATGTAGTCTTTTTATTCTTTTATTACTAGTTGGTCACTAAATTGAACGGAGAAATAGAATTGTGAAAATGAAAACTATTATGTTTCCAGTTCTGACAGGATGATAGTGCTGTTGCTTCCATCAGTTTCCAACAAGCTATAATTTAGAAATAATGACAGAGGAATGCACAGTACTGACAGATAATGTACATTCACAGCAATATAGGCATTAGGCAAAAACAGCCCTGGAGGGGGGTATTTGGGTGAAAATATAGTTTTGATTGCTATTGTCTCTACTATGTAGTGTTTTGAAGCATTTAATATACATTAATGTTCAGGAATGCATTTTCTTAGGTGTTATACCCTCTAGTGATGATATATATAAACTTATATTTTTCAGAATACAAAGTTAAAGATTATAATTCTGTGTCCACGCATTTCTGTTTTCATTTTTGTAAATGTGTGTTTTGTGCTGTTGTAGGTGGGGGTTCATTTAAAATATGTAAAATATACTTAAGAAAGTTGAGTTGTTATCCCTAGATTGAAATTAAAGCACTAACCGTTCAGTTTGCTCAACCTTGTTGTAGTTTGTAGAAACATCACGTTATGTATTCCATCATTAAAATTCTTGAAATACTGAAAAGAACACATGGCATACACAAATCTACACTATGATTTTTTTGCATTTTCCTCTTTTTTGGTTTTACATACACATAGTTTTATTTCTGTCCCATATATTTTGTAGGCCAAGCAGAATTCACAGATTAGCTGAAACCTCAATTCTCAGAGAAACTTAGGAGTCTCATTAATATAGGTGAAACTCTTGGATTACTAAGTATCTGGTGTAAGATTTATGAATTTAGACTTAGATATCTTTACAAGTTTTATCCAATGTTTTCTTTCACTGATGCTGTCATGTTGCCAAGATGTGTGTATCCTGATTACTTCTATCACAATGTTAATATATATAAATTACAAAACGAAAGTTTCCAGTAGTTCATGGGAAAGAGAAGGTGAATAAACGCAGGTCAAATACAAAAAAAAAACAATCAAAGAAACAAAGAATACCACCAGTTCTGTTACTCTATCAGAGAAAAGTTTTGTTTGAACACACTCATCAAGTGTGTTCAGACTTCTGGGGTCAGCAAAGACAAAGATTTTATTTTTTTGTCCTAAAAGCAAAATATGCTTCATTTCTCAGCGTTTGTGTTTCAAATTCTGGGTCAGAGCCCCTGCTGGTGCCCCCACAACTGCAGATGGCTCTGTGCTGGGAAGGGGCGGTGGTGGTTGTGAGCCTTGCATAAACCTGAAGCAGGTGTGACCAATGAACTAGTAACTGTTTGAGTTACCCAACCTAACTTTATATGAAAACTTTTTTATGTAGTCCTTGCAATTTAGAGGCCAATCACCTCAGCACCCTTTAATGGAAAGGATAACTTAAATGGGTAATGTCAAGAAACACAAAGATACTTCAGCCCTTCTTGCATGATAGGATGGGAAGATGAGCTTTCTATGGTTTATGTACTAAAAGCTAATACAAAAAGGACTGTTTTCATCCAACATTCAGTTCAGGTAAACTTAACTATACTAATCTACAATTTGAAGACAAAAATAATCCCATAATAACTCAGTAGCTATTATTCAAACACATCTGAATGAAGTACATGTGTACTTTGGAAATAATCTGTTCAAAAAACCTGGCTGACTGCCATTGAGTAAGGTAGAATATCTGATTTTGTTAATGGCCAGCATTTCAATAGACAAGAATTATCCATTTGCTTGAAAAACAGTTGAGTATTTTCAATGCAAGATTCATGTCTTTTTGCCAGTGGAGATATTTGACCCTATTTTTTGCGCTAAGTGTTTTATGTCCTCTTAGGTACGTAAGGAATATGGGAAATGCTTCCGACATTCCTACTGCTGTGGTGGACTACCAACTGAGAGTCCTCACAGTTCAGTGAAGGCATCAACGACAAGAACTAGTGCTCGATATTCCTCCGGCACTCAGGTAACAAGGATTTTGACAGCAATTTTTAATTAAACTTATTTATAAAAAGCCTACTGAGATGTGTTGCAATCAGAAGTACTAATTGTCTTTTCATTATTATCATTTAGATGGCAAATACACACTTATATACTTGAATTTATTTATTTATAAAGACTTCCTTTTGGTTTGGACTAAAGCAAACACCTTATTTTTTATTGTAATTAGGGGCTGGTTTAGTGGAAAGCTTATACCATCATGTTTCATCTAAATGAAATTTAATAAACTAGACTTTTAATAACAAAAGATGGAATTTCGCGCTGTGCTAGAAGAATGGCTTACTTTAGACCAAAAGAAATACAAATACTCTACATAATAGCACATAGGTCAGAAAAAATCTTTCTGTGACTTACCATGCTTCTGTCTCATTGCTTTATGTTAACAGAGTCGTATAAGGAGGATGTGGAATGACACTGTGAGAAAACAATCTGAATCTTCTTTTATCTCAGGTGACATCAACAGCACTTCAACGCTTAATCAAGGTCAGTCACTGGGAACATTTCAGTTCTAGAAGACTTAAATTTTATACAGATTTTATGTCATTTAATTTAACACAGAAGAATTTAAAAGAATGTGTTGAAAAATAATCTGGAACAAATGTTCTCTAAAAGCAGAGTTTTAAAGTCATGCACCAGCACATTTTAAAACCATTTTCCCTCAGCTGGCCCCCACTATATAAGTTGAATTCCTCCATTTGTGGGAGTGTATTTAAATAAGTTTCATCAATAATTTAACTTAAAAGCAAGATCATAATTTTAAATCCTTCCTAACCTTTATAGGTTAAATCTGAAACAGAAATATGAGTGCAGTAACATTTTAATGCATATTTGACTATGATTTTTAGGTGCAGAAATTTTCCCAGTGAAATCCAATTGATATCATTTCTATGCAAAAGATGTCTGTAAAGCATTTATCTTTTTTATTTCAAAGAGCATCGTACCTGTCACATGGGATAGAATCCAGAATCAGGCACAGAGAAGCCAGAACTTCAAATTTCTTATCTCAAATAGATTTTGAAATCTGTAACTTCATTATCATATCCAGTTACAAGGGTATTAACCAAGACAGAATGTCCCTTCCTTTCTCCCTTCTCCTTGTTTTTTTTTTTTTGTTTTGTTTTGTTTTTTGTTTTTTTTTGAATAAACATTTTAAGCTAAGTAATGGAGGGAAAGGCTGCTTTGTGGAAGCTAAGCTCACAGTTTATTCTTCCACTCACATTCTTAAGAGAAGAACACATAGTTCTCACCGGTTCCTGCTCAACTCAGAAAGTTTCAAATAGAAAATTCACTACTGTCAGGGCTGCTGTAAAGCTCCCATGAACCATGGCTGGCAAATTTTCCTACCTTGTGCTTTTTTTAAGATTCAGTGGCTGGGACCTGTACTTAACTCATATTTATTTTGGAAGTAGAAAATGTGGTACTTTGCAAAAGAGAAAATTTCAAAAAGCATAATCCTACTTCTGCTGTTTGGTGTATAAAGATGGATGAGACTTGTGTGTCTCGCTGCTCCCCTCTCCTGAATTATTATTATCCTCTGGTAAAACCAAAATTAACTAATTTTTCCTAAGTAGATTTTTTTTTTTTTTCATTTATTAAAACCCCATATATATGCCAGAATCCCAGATAAAAGTCTGGGATTTCCTGCTGCAACTCAGGTAATTCAGAGTTGAGCACAGATCTTGGAATTTTCTCCCTGCTTTGGAACTCCAGTCTCAAGTCACCTGAGATGCTCTGTCATGACTAGAAAAAAATGATACTGTCATGATTCAATTGTAATAATTTTACTATCTTAGTATACATGTAAGGGTAGCTTAGTAATTATTGGCAAGTATCATTTCATAAAATTCAAGGTTTTAAAGGTGGCAAACTATTTGAATTGAATAACAAAGTTCTCTTACTATAAATGACAGGTAATAATTCAAACCAAGATAAAACATATTACACAAAAAAAAAGTCAAAACGTATTTGAGCTAGTATTTCTAGTAGTAAGTAGATAACAACTGAAAAAAAAGCTATGATAAAAACTTTCTTAGTTGTTCACTGGTATAAACTTTCAAATAACATTGGCATAATCAGGCAATAAGTCTCTGAATCTTAGAATTATTCTATCTGCTTCTTTGAACTACCAAGTACCTATGGTAGTACAAAAGCATTAATATTTGAAATATACACTGCCTTTTCTATTGCCAAATAAAAATATAGTATAAAAATATAGTTGGCTCTTTAGTTGTACTTGAGTCTGTGATACACTGATCCTGATGCATTGCTGTGCAATGCAATAGAAAAGGAAGTAGAATTTTACTTTAATGAAGTGTTTAAGTTTTAAATGATAGTTTTTCATGGCGTTTTTTTTTTTCTTCTTTTTTTTTTCTTCCTTTTTTTTTTTTCCTGTGTGTGTGCGTGTCAATTTTCCAAACAAGTATTCTTCTGGTAACTAGAAATCAGAGCTAATAGACTCTATAGTTTTCAAATGATGCTTAATTTTTTTTCTAATTCTTCTGAATTGTTTAAATGGTATTACACTAACATGTAAATTATGTTCTAAAAAATCTGTTCATTCCTGTAGTATGTTGCTTCATGTTACACTGTTTGTAAACTGCTTGTTTAAAGAAAAGTTGTCATTCAAGGAATTCTTTTTTTAAAACCTGGCAGATAAATTTGCTTTCCCCTCAGCATGCATACTTTTGCATATACTAAGATATGCTTGCAGTTTGTCATCCACTGTCTGTTTGAAAACAGCGATTCCCTTCCACTCCCTGTGTGTTTGTCATAAAGTGAATAACAGCTCTGATCCATCATAAGAGATTTTTCAATGCATTTAAATTCAAGATATTCAGTTCTCTCAATTCTGGGCAGAAGTGTTCCATAATATCATTTTAGAAGTTACCGTAGCTTTATGTAGTACCTTGATCTCTACACATTTAATTGCTATTCTTGTGTAACCGTGATTTTGTATACATTAGTAAGTGTCACTCTCACCAGATGTTTACTTTGGGGATTTGGACAGCACCTGTGAATTACCGGCATCTAACTATATTTTCCTACTCCCGTTTCAAATACATAGCTCACATACATTCAGAAATTTTCATCTGAATTACATTTGACAAGTTCTACATGATTCATGATGAATAAAAAATATTCTTTATTGAAATTGTCAGAATAAAATTAAAGAACTGACTTTTTTTCTGTTTCTTTTGCTTTAGGAATGACTGGCAATTACCTACTAACAAACCCTCTTCTTCGACCACACGGCACTAACAACCCCTATAACACATTGCTCGCTGAAACTGTTGTATGTAATGCCCCTTCAGCTCCTGTGTTTAACTCACCAGGTGTGCTTATACTTCCTGAGTAAAACCACTTTTCTTGGCTCGCTCCAAATCCCTTCTTTTCCCTAGATAGAAACTCAAGTTGCAATACCCTAGCTATACATTCTGAATTTCTGTCAGTTTGAGAAATACAGTATTGCCTATGTCAGCTTGTAAAACTGCACTATATTATAGTAATGCCTTTGCCATAACAGTATTTACCAATAATTATCCATGTTTTTAACACAGGTGGCATAAATCTTAATATACTATTACAGGACTGACATCACATGGTCTGAGAGCCCATCTTCAAGATATATATCACTTAGAGGTATCATGTCTATGCAATGTAAGGTTGACTCAAAAGCTTGCTGAGAAAAACATGTTCATGGAACAGATTAGATACTAAAGCAGTGCAAGGCATCTTGACACCTTTGGATACTCCAGTGTAGAAAATTGTATCCAGCGTCAAACAGATCTATAGTATAGTGCAGCTTTATGGTAGATCATTTCCTTTAGGAAAATCTTGAGATTAACAGTTAGAACAGTTTAGTTCTGAATGAATAAAGGGTGTCATCACTTACCTAACATTTTGTTGTTAGAGTATCTAGTTGCTTTTTCTAACTACAGTGCAATTCATCAGTAAATATCTAGTAGTTACTGTTAGATGAATCATAAGATCACTTTAGTGTAACTGGAACGATAAATCTTTGGTAAAGTGCTCATAAAACCTTGTTTCCAGTTTTTATTTCAAGTTTCTTTTTTAACTGTACTGTAGTTTCTATTTTCATTCTCTTGTTTTCTTACTTTCCTTATGCTTTCCTCTAGCAACCTACAGAGAGACAAGTATGGGAGTAAAACTTAACTTTGCCTATCAAATGTAAATTTTTTCAGCATGATTTTTAATGGGCACAATTAAAACATAACTAGCGGTCATGAAGTAGACTCAGCGGGCAAGTGGTTCACAATTTGCAAATGAAATGTTTCCACATTCAAAAAGTACTTGCATACTGCTTTTTGGAAAACAACATGAGGTCTGTAGCAAACCCTATTGGTAACAGAAGTTATGGAATGCTGAAATAATTTGCTTTTTAAAACCAAAGCAGTGTCAAGCCGAAATACTTAACAATTTACTTATATTTTTACATTCCCACAGTAATCTTGCTACAGGCTATGGAAAGATTTCAAATGAATTACCTGATCACGGGCAACAAAATTTGCCTCATCAAACCAATTTAAATATATTCTAGCATGCTTAACTCTGCAGTGTATCATAGAAAACTCATTGTGGATTATCAGATATATTTTGGTATCTGTTTAGAAAAAGAAAAGGGAATTAAAATTATAGAATTAAATCACTTTCATGAGGGAAATGAATGCCAGCATGTGGTCCATGTGTTGTCTACTTTTATAAATGCTATATGTTCTGAGCAGCTAAATCCTTTGCAAGAAAAATCTTGGAACATATATGAAATTGCAGAACGATAAAACTGTTTAATCAAAGCTTAAAGAGACCTTTCAAACAACCCTCATCACTGTTTAAATCAATACACATGAAGAGGAGCTAACAATAACACCAATACAAAATGATTTGCAAATTATTTAGAATTTATTTGGAGATTATTACTCTGTTTTCTAAAGTTGAAGACAAAAATCTTTTCTTGAGAAAATGCAATTACTTTTTAATTGAAAACAATATTTTCCAGAGAAGATTGAATTTTCTAGGATAAGCTGCAGCTTTAATTATGAAAAACAAAATAAAACAAACAAAAAAAACACACAGGAAAATACATCTTTTCCAAAACAACTTTTTCTTATACTCCTCCAAGCCTTGCATATAATGCAGCAGCCTCACAGTGGTCAGTCTCATTTCAGTAAAGTCACTCCATTCTTTCTTTACTTCTAGACATATCTGTAGATAAAGTGATTTTCTAGGAATGCTCTAACCATTCGACTTTCCATGGTTCAGACTGTTTAGTTTCTTTCAAAGTTTTTTTTTCTTTTTTTTTTCTTTTTTTTTTTTTCCTTTGCTTGGGAAGCACTGTGCTGTCATAGTTTACATGTCTTTGTGTCTATAGGAAATCCTTTTCTTTATTGTGCCCCCCCCCCCCCCCCAAAAAAAAAAAAAAAAGCCAAAATCAAAAACATAAAGACCTTAATCATCATAAGACTTCATTTTTTTTCCCCCTTAACTTCTTTCCATGTTTCTAAAGGACTTACCCAATCTGTCATTTCTCCAGCAGCTATGAGGTATCAGCCATTGCTGATTTCCTCTTCCCATTCCACAACTAATATTTATTCTTTGGTTTAATTTCTGTGACCCATACTTACAGAAATTCCTAACATTTCTGCATTTGACTTCCATGGCCATGGTAACTGTGGGCCTAACTCTTAATTAACGATTCTGGTTCATTCAGTGCTGTCACTGTGACTGATGCAGACTGCAGGCAAACTTTGACCTTTAGAAGCCTGGGGCCATTGTTGGCAGACAGAATATTAGTGCAAAAAAATTACATTAAGTGGGAAAAGAAAAGCTGTTATTGCTTCGTAATCTAATTTGCTGAACCCTTGCTCTGACTAAGTTGCTGAGAAGCTCAGTAATTCTTCATCATGTTACAATAAATCATTTTACTTTCTTTTATATATCAGCTACTCTTAGGCCAGATAGCCTGAGCAGACAGACATGATGTGAGTTGTCCAAAGTGAGTCATTCCACCTGCTGTCTATCGTGTTGTTGGATGGTGCTTGTGGGCCCTGGTCCCTGTAGTGTGAAAGATGGCTGTCCTTGTTTAACATAAATTCTTTGTATTTATTCATTTTTTTCATTCTTTTCTTTACTTCATCTCAAAAAAAAAAAAAAAAGGAAAAATGTTAGAAATGTTGTTAAGTAGTTGCTTGCCAGTTATGTGGGTTTATGTTGTACATTTACCTTCAGTTATGTCTGTGATCTAATTCCTTTTTAATTTAGTGTCGTTTAGGACAAATTCTGTTAATTTTCTTTTTCTAAATCATGGTGGTGTACTTCAAAACATAGATGTTTCCAAATGAATTGCTTTGCATTACATATGCAAGGGCATGGAGTGATCAGTTCCTTGTGGAAGAGTCACAGAATTGACATTAAATTAAGAAATTAAAATGCCACTATTCCCCACAGGAAATACGTGTTACTATTTTAAAATGCATCTTTCATATAAAGTGTGCAACTGTTTACATTTGGGAATGTTCAATAACCTTACTTTTCTCAAGTCTTACTTCCAAGTACAACTTTGTCCTGAACTACATTAAAGAATTTGTTTAAGAAAAAAAAAAAAAAAAAGTGATGAAAAGCACATCAGACAATAACCAGGGCTGTCCTTTTCTGTTTCAGGACATTCACTGAACAATGCCAGGGATACAAGTGCCATGGATACTCTACCGCTAAATGGTAATTTCAACAACAGCTACTCATTGCGCAACGGAGACTATAACGACAGTGTGCAAGTTGTAGACTGTGGACTAAGCCTGAATGATACTGCTTTTGAGAAAATGATCATTTCAGAATTAGTGCACAACAACCTGCGGGGCAGCAGCAAGAACCATAACCTGGAGCGCACACTGCCAGCCAAGGCTGTGATCGGCGGGAGCAGTAGCGAAGATGACGCCATCGTGGCAGATGCCTCATCTTTGATGCACAGCGACACCCCTGGGCTGGAACTCCACCACAAAGAGCTTGAGGCCCCACTCATTCCTCAGCGGACTCACTCCCTTCTGTACCAGCCCCAGAAGAAAGTGAAGACTGAGGGAACCGACAGCTATGTCTCACAACTGACAGCCGAGGCTGACGACCACCTCCAGTCCCCCAACAGAGACTCTCTTTACACGAGCATGCCCAATCTCAGAGACTCTCCATATCCAGAGAGCAGCCCCGACGTTGAAGAAGATCTCTCTCCCTCCAGGAGGAGTGAAAATGAGGACATTTACTACAAGAGTATGCCAAATCTAGGAGCTGGCCATCAGCTTCAGATGTACTATCAAATCAGCAGGGGTAATAGCGACGGCTATATAATTCCCATTAACAAGGAAGGATGTATTCCAGAAGGGGATGTTAGAGAAGGACAAATGCAGCTAGTGACAAGCCTTTAATAGTGTAGCAAAGAGATATTAAAGGCCACGTACAAGTATTAAAAGACTTAATTGGCCCTGTGCAGGCTCCCTCGTATCTGCTTGAAGAGACAATTCTGTTGACCCTGTGGTTCTCCGGTGTAACGGGGATGACTGGACCTCGCAGTTCTGTGAATTTTTATAAAACAAAAACTTTGTATATACACAGAGTATACTAAAATGAATTATTTGTTACAAAGAAAAAAAATACCAACAAGGTATTTTAAGATATCTTCTGCTGCTGAATTTAACAAAATTGTGAAAAAAAAAAAAAAAAAAGAAAAAGAAACACTTTCCAGCCATTTTACTGCAGCAGTTTGTGAACTAAATTTGTAAATATGGCTGCACCGTTTTTTTTTTTTTTCCTAGGCCTACATTGTATTATATACAAGGCGTAGGCTCTAAAATCCTGTGGGACAAATTTACTGTACCTTACTATTCCTGACAAGACTTGCAAAAGCAGGAGAGATATTCTGCATCAGTTTGCAGTTCACTGCAAATCTTTTCCATTAAGGCAAAGATTGAATACATGTCTAACCACTAGCAATCAAGCCACAGGCCTTATTTCGTATATTTCCTCAACTGTACAATGAACCGTTCTCATGAAAAAAATGGCTAAAGAAATTATATTTTGTTCTATTGCTAGGGTAAAATAAATACATTTGTGTCCAACTGAAATATAATTGTCATAAAAAAATAATTTTAAAAAGTTTGAAGAAAATATTGTGAAAAGCTCTTGGTTGCACATACGTTATAAGCTGTTTTTCTTACACTCTGTTCATAGTACAGTAGTATATTAAAAATGCAAGTTCTACCTGTTTTCACTTATTTTTTCACTGTAAACAGTGTTCTGCTTTGACAAGTTAGTTTTTATTCTTTTTTTTCTTTTTTAATTTTTTTGCCAAAAACATAATTTGGGGAGAAAATTGTTTTAGAAGCCAATTATGCCAAGCCTTGCACAAATTTGGTATAGCTAACAAAGATTGTAACTGAATTCCCTGTTCATTCTTTAATCAGGGTTGGGTGGTAAGGGTTAAAGGGGACACTGGACACTTCTCACAAGCTTTCTCGTGAATAAAAGGTGCCTGTCCTTTAAAAAGATAAATAAAACATAACTATTACTCTTCCATATTCCTTCTGCCTATATTTAGTAATTAATTTATTTTATGATAAAAATATAATGAAATGTAAATTGTTTCAACAAAATTCTGCTTTTTCATCCCTTTGTGTAAACCTGTTAATAATGAGCCCATCACTAATATCCAGTGTAAAGTTTAACACCTGTTTGACAGTAAATAAATGTGAATTTTTTTTCCAAATAGGTAAAATGTGCATTATTATGTACGAAGCATAATTGGCATCAGCAGTCTTTTGACCCAGCTGTATCCTGCTTAGAATGGCTTCTTTACATTTCATGATTTAAGTGTTGAGAGTACAATGGAAACTGTCTATGTAGTTCGACAGAAAAGAGTTCATCTTTACTTACTATTCATTAACTTAGTCACAATTGAATAGGATCAAACTCAGATATAGCAGGGTCATTAGGAAAATGTACTGTAATTTCATATATTTACATAACTTTTAAGTAGGCATCTGTACTGAAATCAAAAATAAGGTGGTAAACACCACCATCGTATTCTCAGCAACAGTAATTAGCAGTTAATTATTAGTGATGAAGATATAGTCTTATAATGGGGAAAACATGAGTAAGCAGCATTTGGATAGCACTCCTGTGCAAATAATCTGCTGTGCAAATAATCCATCACAGCACCACTTTAAGTTAGATAAATAAGCATGACTGCCTCATTTTTATCAGACTAGAAAACTGCAGAAGGCAGCTGATGCCCAAGATGTTATCAACAAATTGGTGGCAAAATTGGAAGTCTGAAGTCTTTGTTCCCAAGCCTTTTTTGTCCCTCTCAACCAGAGCTCCTCAAAGATAACGCCAAGGACTTCATTTTTTTCAACTTCCAAAAGTGTGTTCTTTCATAACACAGAAGCCATGTTTTCATATGTGGCACCTGTGACTATATGTATGACAACAGCAAAAATTCATTTGAAAGCCTTTTAAATTCTGTTAGCTTCTAATGTGCTGGAATATAAGAATACTCCATTTAGAATGTATATCGATACACATTGGTTTTGTGTAGGTGCATTTTGAAAAAGTTTGGATTTCAAAAAAATATTTTGGGCAAGACTTCGTGGTGTTGAGACAATTCAGACTTTGTAAAAAAATATCCGAGATGAGATGGAACCTCAGAGTTCAGATAACCTCAATATGTCTGTAATTGGGACTGTGGCACTGTAGCAATTGTTGAAGACAAAGGCATGTTTACCTTACCCTCCTGGTAACGCTTGTCAATATGTTCCTTAATACATAAAAGTTACTATCTTTGTGGTAGAGTCACTGGAACAGTTAAAATTTAATCAGAAACTGTTTACTTCTGTTTAGCAGAGATGCTTTAAAAACCTGAAGTCTTTGTGAAATAAGGATTTGTTCTGATTCAGGGTATACAGCAGACGCTTCGGAGCAAAATGATTCCCTTGGTCTGTCTGGCAACTTAAAAGCATACTTGCTGCCTTCTACCTAGGAAATCATGTCTTAGGGATTTAAAAACTGTGGTGCTCAAGTAATTATAGTACACGATCTAATAACATCACCAGCTTTCAGCAGAATATTCAGCCCTAATTCGAGCAAGTACTCCTTTGTGTCACGTGTTGTCTAACTTAATGGTGGCGAAACAACATGCTGGAAAAAGGTTTGTAGCATTGTGATCTTAAAAATATATTCAACTGCAAATGTAACACGTATGCATAAAACAAGAAAATTGAGCTGATGAACCTAAGATGAACCAGCTGAACCTAAATATCATAAGGGAATTCTTTTGTTAGCGTCTTTGTAATGTAGATGTTGCTTTTTAGTGAGCCTATTTTTTTCTCTCTCTCTCTTTTTTTTTTTTTTTTTTAATGTTATACTAGTGAGTGTCCTGTGTTTAGCTAACAACTAGCAGCCAATACCTTGCCAAATTTCTGTTGGTGTAACTTCTCAGTGTAGTAGTTTACAATACAATTATATGGCCGACAGCTTACTGTAATTTCTTTATGTTCTCTCTCACTTTCCTGCCATCTTGTCTTGGGATCAGAAGGACAGAAGAATTGAGAGGAAGAGTCGAGAATAATGAAATAATGACAGCAGAATTAATGGAAACAAGTGTTTCTTCAGGGTCATCAGTTAACCAGTTCCTATGATGGTGCCAAGGATATGCTGCTATTTTAGGCACTGTCTTTCAGAAGAGCTGTAATTTTCTTATGGCTAGTAATCTCCTGTTAGTATCAGTGTTAACCCTACTGGCTCCATCCAATTCTTCCTTGTAACTTCAGTCCAGTTATATTCCTACAAAAGATTAAGTGGGATGTGCATTTAGTGAACTGTTGTATAATGGTGCTATGCATTGTTGAATATAAAATACATCTCAATTCTACATAAGTGAACCATAACATGAAGAAACGCAACATTGGTAATACCTTTATAGTTAAAATTAATCTTTATCTGTGAATTCTACAATACACCTTTGCTTTTAAATTGGAAATGAGATTACTAATAAAGTTTACATATATTCACTTATGTAGGCAATAAAAGATGTTTCAAATTGACATAAGTTATGGATAAAATACGCGTCATATTTTATGTCCTAGTTTTTAAGAAAAATTTCTTTCTGAACTACTCAGAACAGACATTAACAGAAGAACAACAAAAAGTAAATGATCCCTGTGTATTGTTGTTATCCCACTTTGCCTAAAGACTAACAAAACTTGTCTTCTAGAATTGATTATATGACAACATATGCTAGTGTAAAATTTTATCCCTGAATAAAATTATTTTTTAAATCAAGAGAAGCTACAGGCAGATGTATATATATATATACACATACAGACAAGTACATCTCCACGGGGGTCTTAACTCACAAATTCTAGGGGGATGGTGGAGAATGAAAAGTGCTGGGACACAGGCACTCTTCAGTTCCACTCTGCTGTAGCCTTGCAAAGACACTTTAGCCCTTCAAAGACACAAAGGGAGCTCATGGTGAAACATACTAGATTTTTTTTTTTTTAATAGATGGTAGCAGTCACCATATACATTTATGAAGGTCATTGCTACCAGTAAGCAAGGGTCTTGCTGTATGGATCCAGATTTATGAATGCTGCTAGCCTGCTGAGTCTCTACCCTAGAACTACGTTGGAGGCTGGAAGCCAGCTTTGTACTGAGATAGGGATAAAAGCTAGCACCACCACAGCACTGGATACAAGAGATTTGTGCCTCATTTATATAAACTGTGAATTAATAGGAATTCAATTAGCAGATCCGGCTCAAGCATCCAGCTCTGACAAAAATCTGGGGTAAAGGTTCGTTAGGACCCTGTCCATTTCAGCAGTTTTTTTTTTTCTTTTACTCTTTTTTTTTTTTTTTTCCCAGTAAAATACCTCATGCGGTTTTTAGAACAACAACTTCTAAATCCTTTTATTCATGCAGGATAAATTCTCAATGGTATTTCATTAATTCATGCCTAAGAGCATTAATATCTCTTCTTACTCTATTATGTCATCATTAATCTCAACTGTGCCCCATCAAAGTTCCTGGCATGTGAAACAGATCACACGATGATGCAGCCAGAGTGTTTAGAAATGCTATAGAAAATCATACAAGCCTCAACTCAGCACCAAGAAGGTTTTAAAACACCATTCCATGTAATGCACCAGCTGCTGAAGTCTTCGGCGGGAGATCACAGAGTGGGGAAGTCACAGTGACAGAAATAACGTTCAGAATAGGTAGTTTTATCAAAAAAAAACCCAAACAAACAAACAAAAAAAACTTCTAAAGCAAAGCTGATATAAATTTTAACCATTTCTTCATTGGGTACATGTCTCTTGTCTGTTAGAGTAGAGCCCTGCCTCAGTGTAGATGCTGTACTGCAAACCAGTTTAAAGCTTAGAGGCAGCAAAGTTGAGCACAGAAACATCTGCTTACGTTAAAAGGTCTGATTCACAAATAGCACAACATCCTGTGTCATAAGTGTATAATAAAAAGAGGCGGACTGAATAAGAATCATTGAATATCTATCTGGAATAACTGTCCCAGTCTTGTAGCATACAAGTAGCTTTAAAATAGCTACTCAGCCTCCATGATTGCTTAGGAGAATGAGTCCCAAAGGTTAACGAGGTTTTTATGGGAATAATTTCATTTTCATTCACTTTGAACAGACCACTTTGCCTTTTTTTTTTTTTTTTCTTTTTAATTTTCAGGATAAATAGAAACTTCTTAGCTTGTATTCTTAATACTACTCATTGTTTTAAACACTTCCCCATTATCTTCTATTACTTGACTCCTTTCTAAATAAATCCTTGTTTTCAGACTCTTCCATTTTTCTAATTGTGTAGTTGCCAGTCTGCTGAATTACTTTTTGCCAGAATGCTTTAAGAGAAAGGACAAACCACAAAATTGTTGGTGGGTTGTTATATCTGATTTATGGATGGACTTGTATTTTCTATTCCATCTTCCACCCCACCCCACCCCCCCAACACACACACGTGCTCCCACGTCATACTTTGTCTTCATAGTATCCATTCACAATACCAATTTTTCCACTAAGTTGATCATAGCAAGTAATGACCTAAATAATTATGGTTATTTTAGAACCCAACAAACCCTACAGATACTTCCAATTATTCCCAGGAATGTGTGCCCAACCTTGTATTTGTCAGCACTGCATTTCATCTGCATCACACTGCCCATTTATTCACTTTGTTAACCCAGGTCATTCACAATCTTCCCTAGTTCTGATTAACTGAAGTAATTCTCTGTTAACAGCAAATGTTGCCACCTTTCAGATAGCATGTTCATCCCCTTTTACAGATAGCACCAGTTTAAACACAGAGTGTTAGGGCACTATACCATTAGCCTTTTGCCATGATCAAAAAACCTGACCACTTAATCCTGCTCTACCTCTTAGTTTCTAATGCACAATTGCTTCAGCTTTCACTTCCTGAACACTGTTCTGCTTTAATGACCTCTTGGTAGGGATTATTTTTTATTTTAAAAATACAAATAAATTACATCAACCATTCCCTCCACCTCCAGCAGCTGCACAACTGGCTTAACTTTAGTATGTTAGAGAGGCATGATTTTCTTGCCCTGAGCATTTACATCTCTTTCAGCAGTGTTTCCTCTGCACTGCATGCTTACATATGGAGTTTCTACATGTCAGACTCAAAAAGCACTTACTTATCTGTTCAAAATGAAATTCAGATGGAATTTAGTCACTGAAATCCCAATATACATCACTCACAGGTACAATGAACATCATTTCAGGGGAAGAAACAATTCCAACCTTGTAGACACATACATTTCTGGCACTAAGGATATTTTGGCATCCCACATTCTGCTGCTGCATGTCTGCAGCCACACCATCACAGCAGAGCCGAGCCACAGCAGGCACTATTATTGCCCTCCTCATGTGTGACAGTGCAGCCTCTGAATGTCACAATCTACACTTTCAGTTAAAAGGGGGCTCCTTCCCCCCTCCTGCTGAAGTTCCTGTCCTGACAATAATTACAGCTGGAGCTAGCAGAGAAGCCGCGTGAATCTGTGCAACTTCCCAGTGTAAATGTCACCATGGAAGCTCTGCACCAGCCCCAATGATGCCCAGTTTGTGTTGTGAAAAGGTCACAGATTCCACCTGCACAGATCCAAAACCACCACAGTTTTTGACACAACATATATCACATGTGATGTGATGGGGCTGTGTTACTCTGATCATGCAGCTTCACATGCACGGTACTGGCTGTGCACACAGCCCACAGGGAGCGTGGGTGCATCACATCCAACAAAGTGCCAAAACTTGGGTGGGTTCCACAATGCTGAGGTGTTCTCTGGGCCCCAGTGGACTTACTGGTCCTCATTTCCACATAGCTTTTAGCTAAGAAATTCAGAGTCAAACTGGTGCTGGCCAGAGTATTTAGCCCCTCAGCATGCCACTGACGAGCTGCTCCCAGTGACCTACTTCTTTCCGTGCTTGGTTACAGTCATGCTGCTACTGCAAATGCTGAGATGGGTTTGCAGCTCTGCTTTTCTTTCAGGCAGGTGTGGCTTAATGTGAAGCTCCTGCTAAAAACGTTCCTGAGGAGATCCTCACTGTAGTTGCAATGGCTGGTGGCAGGGTTGTCTCTGTGACAAAGCACAAACACATGCAAGCTTGCATGAACCAGCGATGGTTTCTGTACACACTAGAGGCTGCCTGGAAAAGCCAGACCTGGCCGTTTCTTTCAAAATGTGAGGGGAACAAAGAGAATACACAGAGATAGATAAGAAAATAAAAGAATAAAGTGAGGTACAGGAGTAATTTTGTTCTCATGTTTCCTTCCATCACTACTAACTGTAGCCCCTTCAAAGCAACACAGAAAAAAAAAAAACAACTCACCAGTGTCCATTCATCTGGGTTGTATGACAAAATATGCCAGTTTAATGAAGCATTTCTAACTCTTCAAAATTGGTATTTCAGGTTAATGTCCTAAATACTTAATCTAATAGCATTGCCAGATCCCAACATTCTCACAGAAAGCAGACTAGAAATGTACCATTCCAAACATGTCTTGACATTTTCAAAGAAGACTTGAAAAAATGGATTTATCCAAAACAGCTTATTTCAATGACCGAAATTCTACTGCTCATACAAAACACTGAAAATGAAGAAAACAGTCAATACACATAGTGAGAGAAAGCTATTTAAACATTTGCCTTAGCACAGGCTTCCCATATGCTACACAGAGCTACGAATGCTCCCTTCCCTGCTGAGACTGATCAGTGCAAATGAAGCACTGATACCCATCCAGAGGTGCCGGTGATTTGCCTGATATCCCACTCCTCTGCATTACTACAGGAATCTGGTCTGTGTCTACTCTTAAAAGCTGTATATCTTCAGAGACAATGTTTGTCTCTCATACACGGAGTATTTCTGGTCTAAATGAATGCTATAAGCAAGTAAGTGAACATGCAAGTAAAAGTGACACGTATATATAAAGAAGGCTAACTCACATTTATAGGCACAACTGGTCTCACAAAGTGCTGTGTGAATTTCTCATGGACCTTTTATGATCCAGCTCATGGTGTGCATGCTGAGACCACACTTAATGTGCCTGCAGAAAGAGAGTACCAGCAGCTATAGCCCAGGCAGTCTGACATCGAAAGCAAGCAGGTAGCTGCTGCAGGGGGTTTCTCCTAAGTCTCAGCAAAAGTTTGTTGTAGATTAACTGGCACTTAGGGGACTGCTTGGTCTCCCCACGTCAAGATAAGAACATACTACATGCTGCTTATAGTTATAAGTGTTCTAATTAGGTAGACTTGATTATTGTTCTGTGGTTTGATAGATGCTGTATTTAAAGTAATTTCAGGTACTAATTTTTAGACCTTTTTTTGTGAACTAGTAAATCAAGTGCAATTTATTCACAGAATTATTCTTTTCTTTCTTAATGCCTATTCCCTCTGGCTTGTAACTTTAATTAGAACCTGCTATCTGTTCACATTGGTAATGGTAACAGTTGTCACTAGAGTACAGATGCATAGATTGAGCT